TTAAGAAGATTCTGAAATGACTGAAGAAGTTGTACAGTGTAAAGAATTAAGATGTAATATAATTACAACTATAACTATATGCAGAATTCATTATATTTTAAAAGTGATTATCAAATTCTAAAGTAAATAACTTGACAAAAACATACTGTACACAGATAATATACAAGAGTATATTATTTATCAGTTCAATCATGAAATGTTGCTCACAAAATTCTTGAAATATTGAAAAAATACACCTTTTGGTGAATATTTTGTAATATTTCTATCAACATTGTATATATGATTGTATATAAATATGGCAAAGTGGTAATTAATTTTTTTTTTCAATATAGGATGTAGTATGTGGTATAGTGACAGGAGCCTACAGTAGACAGTATGTGCTTGCATGCGGTATGTATTAGCCTATTCAGTCTACATATCTGTTACATCTTGACAGATCACATGTGACTCAGCGGACCTAACGCCGTGCCCCCACCCTAAACAATTCAGAGTGTCTCCCCAGGAGAGCACTGCACAGCTCCGTCCACAGCAAAGGGACACTAGGCCATTGACAGAGGCGTGTGGTCAAACATTGGGTTATTGTTATGGGCTCCCGCGCTCCGACCAAGCGTCCACGGTGCCGCAGGGAGTGGGCTTGGTAAGAAAGACCATTGTCTACGGGCAAGTGTGTGGGTAAAGTCTCTGACATCACACAGCCCATTCAAGTGAGAACAAACATGCATGATGATAAATAAATGAAAAGATACACATGTAAAGAGCAGAACAACTGAATGACCAGATGTCCTAACTGAGGACTATTTTTAATGTGTGCTGTCTAAAAACAAGCCCATTATTTATCCATTTTTATAGACTGCAGCACTAGAAAGTAAGAGCAGTAATCAAAAACAAACGGATTAAAGCTGAAGAAGAGACTCACACTGAGAATAACTTGTGTACTTACTTTGTCCAGCTCATCATGAAGTTCGGACAGCGACGGCCGGATGAGCTTCTCCCCCAGAGGCGCCTCCGTCTGCCGGTAGAAATCAATGTTGGGGACGGCATCGATGGTGTTGTGGCCAAAGGTGCGCAGGTAGTAGGTGCTGGAGTGGGTGTCGGAGAAGTGGCTGAGCCCCCCTGTGGAAGAGTGCAGGCTGGCCTCGCTCCTCACCGTGTCCCCATTGAACGCTGCATCAGACCCTCCGTCAGCAGGAGCTCCTGAGGGGTCCAGAAAGTTCACCACACGGAATCGACCTTTGGCCTCCTCGCCACCAGCAGTGCCCTCGGACGTCCTGCCTGCCGATGAGGACCTCGCTCTTGGAGGAGTTCTGGGAGCTCCGCTTGCAGCCGCAGCCGCTGCCGCTGCCTCTGCCACCGGGTCCACCTGAAACCGGCTCTGTGTGGACTTCAGAGCGGGCTTCTGTCCGGGCGGAGGTGATGAGGACGGGTCTGACATTGTGAAATACGAGCAGGCTGATAATTAGCCGCCGGCCGCTTATACGCGCTGCTGGAAGTCTAAATTTGGCGCGGTTTTGCGCGCATCTTCGCCGCTGACAAGCGGAGAAAAACGGGCTCCACTCACCACGTCATTTCTAATTACAATGTCTCTGCCCCCCATCCAACCACCCCACCCCCCTACACAGACACTGTCCACCATAGAGGACCGACGTAACTCACAAACTCGTGACTGTCCTGTTAGGAACTTTGGCAGAGAGAGTCCAGACTGCGCCAACTCCTCATCCGCGCAAACGGACAGATACACGGCAAAAGTGGAACAGAGCAGAGCTGGATTTGAACCCATTGTAAGATATGGACTGCTAAAAACACTGCTTTTGTTCAAACTGTCGTTTTGCTTTGCTTCGCTTTGATTAAGGAATTGACGTGATCGGAACAAATTCAGAAAGTCATTTTTTAGATCGATTTTGAGATCTCAGTCTGCTGCTCCAATAATTAATACGTTTCCATTAGATATGGAGCCCTGCTGGTGACAGCCCGTATAAATAAAAATAATGCGTGGCCACACTGATGTAACGCATGGTAACGAGATTCTAATGCGTGGCCATGATTAATGAGACATGGGAACAAGATAATTAAGTTGTGGCCATGACTTAGTAAGACGTGGGAATGAGATCATGCCTTACTAAGTCATGGCCACGCATTATTTTTGCTTATGTCACCAGCAGGGCTCTGTAGATCCTGTATGAATAAAAATAATGCATGGTCACACCATATTAACACATTTGAACAAGATCCCAATGCATGGCCATGACTTCATAAGATGTGCGAATGAGATAATTAAGTCTTGGCCATAACTTAGTGAGGTGTGGTAATGAGATCATACCTTATTCCGTAGTGGTCAAGACCACATTATCTCATTCCCACACCTTACTAAGTTGTGGCCACACATTAGAATCTCATTCCTACACCTTAGTAAGTCATGACCATGACTTTATTATCTCGTTCCCATGCCATACTAAGTTGTGGCCACACATTATTTTTTATTTATACAGGATGTCTCCAGCAGGGCTCTGTAGGGTTCCATAATAAAAGGAAGCCCTAAAGGGTCATGCATTTGCATGTTTTTATTCTGTTTGTCCATGATGACCAGTTATTTTCATTTGTTTTCTCGAGATCTTATGTTTTTTAAACCATTATCACAACATAACAAATGTTGTTTTCTCATGATCCTGAGATATGTATGCCATTATAGGGACATAACAAAGGTAAATCAGCACTGTAAACTTAAATTTATTGACTTTACTTAAAAAAAACATGTTGCCTTGAAAAAAATCAGTTAAGTTACTTAACAGGTTTGAGCTTAACATATATAATTTTGTATATGAGTTATAGTTACTTTATTATTTTTTTCAGTGATCCACACATCTGCAGCAAGTTTACCTGCTATTCTGTTCTTCTGTTGTTACAAGCTTGAGATCATAACAATAGCAGAACCCTTTTTGGTGCTTTTAATCATGCAAAGGGTTCTTTGTGTGTTTATGGTTCGATATAGAACCATTTTCATTACCAAAGAACCCCTGAAGAACCATCTTTGGTAAGAGTGTAAGGTTAACTCAAACAGACCAATAATTATAAGTGTTTTCCTCTGAGCTGACAGTGCTCTACTTTTTAAACTCCTTGCTCTTGAATTAGTTAAATTTGAATCAAATTTTCTCTAATAGTTTAATGCGTATTTGCCATTCTGTTAGCATTCATTGCTAGGATAAACTGGTAAACCTGAACACAAAACACCATCATGGTGACAATCACAAAAACATTTAGAAGTGAGAGTATGCTGTGACACAAAAATAACGTTTTGCAAAGAGAATTATATTTATAAAATTACAGAAGTAAGAGTAGATTAACAGAAACTAACAAAATTGCTAAGAATGCAAAGCTTTTTGTAAACAAATGCTGTAAATAAAACAACTTCCATTTTGTGATAATGACAAATATCACAAGATCTCGAGTTAGTTTATTTAACTGAACAACAGTTTGCATTATACACATTTATTTAAAGTTAAAGCACCAACTAACTTTAGCTAATGGATATCACAAAGGTTGATTTTTAGCACAAAGAGTTTGAGCCTACAACACATTAAAACTCATTCTATTGTTGCTGTCTACTTAAACAAATAATTAATGTCGTATCAATATCAGAACGGAAGAAACCACTGAACCTTTCCCGAGTTCTCTCACATTTGCATTCATTCCAAGTCGGAGGAAAAACAATTGTTTTTCTGTAAAGAGGGGAGATGACATGCGTCCACATTACCATAGAGCACAACACCGCCTTTCACTCTTTGACTCTTTGCAATACAGAACTGAAAGGGATCCTGAACAGATATCAGCTATGCCATGATTATGACCTGGAAAAACATGAACAATATTCAATATTGTGCGCTGAACAATGGTGTTCATGTAGTTGTATGAGAAGCAGATGTTTAAATGTTTTAAACAGTATGGATACTGAAAAATGCTGTACTCACTTAAAAAAAGATGGTTCTTCAGGGGTTCTTTAGTAAAGGCAATGAAGAACCATCTTTTTTAAGTGTGTAGGTTAGATTACATTATGTCACACTGTGGGAAAAATAGTTATCTGGAAATTAGTGATCTTGTGCAGCACATTTAGAGGTGAACAAGGCAAATTTTACAAACTAAAATCCACTGCTAATAAAACAACTGAACTTTAAACCAGATTCAGCCACCAGAGGGCAGCATTTGGGCTTCAAATCAAAGGACCTCAAAACTTAGAATACAAAACCACCACTTTTTAAAAAGAACCACCAGTCATGGCTCTTAATGTTCACTGTATTTATTATATTAGCTGTACTTGACTATAATTGATATACTTGATGTATGGAAGATGTAATAGGATGTAATAGGATGCTAAAATTACAGGCAAAAATGGCTGTGAGTGTTTTTGTTTCAGATTCTGTCTCACAGTGAGAAGAGCCTGGGTTTGATTCCCGGCCGGGCGACCAGGGTCCTTTCTGTGTGGAGTTTGCATGTTCTCCCTGTGTCTGCGTGGGTACTCCGGTTTCCTCCCACAGTCCAAAGACATGCAGTCAGGCCCGTTGGACATGCTAAATTGCCCCTAGGTGTGAGTGTGTGTATGAATGTATATGTCTGTTTGTCTGCCCTGTGATGGACTGGCGACCTGTCCAGGGTGTTTCCTGCCTTCCGCCCATTGACTGCTGGGACAGGCTCCAGCTCCCCCCCGCGACCCAGAAGGATAAGCGGCTTAGAAAATGTTTGTGTGTGTATTTTATTTGATTAATAAAAATATCAGATGAGTTGATTTCCATTCAGTCAGCAGAATGGTCATTAGGAGGCCTGCAGAAAGGGGTTAAAATGTACAGAACTTGTAACAGAATGAACATATTGGATGTTTAAAGGAAACCTGAAATGGCCATATTTGACTATGGTATTCTTCTTTGCAACAGAATTATTACAGCATTTCCATTTTGTACTGAGAGCAACCAACACTAAGCAAAAATCTGCATTACAATATCAGCAAAGACTCATACAAGCAATAACATTTTAATAAATGTTCTTTGCAATTTTGTGTTGACATTTCAAAATCATCAGAACTTTGACAATGTTGTTACATAACTGATATAAACCTGGAAAGTCAGTTTTTGGGTGACAACAATAGAATCAGGATTCTTTGACCTATAACAGAAGAGGAGAGGAGATGGCACATAACAATAGCTCAACCCCTTTTGGTGGTATATAAAACTATTTTTAAGTTCCTTAAAGTACTACATTCAACAGATTTTTCCATTATAGAGAAGAATGATCTAACCATGCAAAGAATGATCACACATTGTCACAGTTCTATACAGCACTACCCCCTTTACTAAAGAGTGGCTTTTTAAAGGGCATGCTGCTCATAGCTTCTGATTTCCATATGAAAGCCATAGATGACCGAGTGCTGTTCTGAAAACCATGTACTGTGTCATCAGCATCACGAGGAAGAGACGGCATCATCATTGGCTGTGCCTGCCTTCACACCCCGCCCACACAGGAACACATTCCACATATTCTACACTGCACAAAAGCATTTCAAAAACATCTCATGCAGAGGCATCCATAACATATCACATGTACTGAGATTTATTTTAACTTAAGGCACATAATATCCAAAAAGTGAACACATTTCATGAAATTAATCATTTACCCATATGTTATGTACACACATGACATATGCATGACTTTGAAGTCTCCTGAATACAAGTTTATTTTACAACATCGATTACATACATTCCCAATCTGATATTGAAGAAAAAAACCTCATACTCTATTTTGTTAGGCTTAAGCACAATTGATGCAGTTGTCAAAACAATTCAGCAATAAATGACACACATTCATGACTTTAGCACCAAAAGAAAACACCAGACCAGCTAATCTTTATTTCATGATTACTTCATTACTGAGATCAATAATTAATCAGGCTCTCGATAACCAAGCTCTTGTGTTTGCGTAATGCAGCCACCAGCAGCTACTTGGCTTTGTAAAAAAGACAAATGATATCTTGAAGAGTTTTCACAGTATTCTGTATGTCTTAGAGTGAAACATGTATAAACACAGTGAAAACATACTTTAGGAACTCACTCACTGTAACTTATACCATGTTTTTGTCCTTTGTAAGTCTGTTGTTGACATCTGGGCTCCCTTTGCTTGAGTCTGTATTATGCCATTGCAGACGAATGGTTTACATTTTAACGTCATTAGGTTTCCTCCAGTAGTTTCTGGAGGTTTCTCTGAATCTGAAGAACAAAGAAAGACCACTTCTCAACAAAGGCTGCACTGTTTTTTAGAATTTACATTTGCAACCTTAACAATCATCACTGTGTTTCATTTTTCAGCTGTGTTGCTAGAAAGCATCACTGCTTTGGTCATTTTGTCAGTGTTGTATCCATCATATCAAATTTCCCAAAGATACACTGGTTTTAAGAAATCAATATCTTTTCAGGTGCAAACATGGGTGTGATAGTTTTCATGTTTATCATAACCTTGTCTTGAGTTATAGGACCACGTTTGAAAAAAAAATGTTTAAAGAACCTTCAAATAATTTAAAAGTTATACACAATTTAAGAGTTTGTCCTAGAACCTTTACATTACTTTAAAATGGTTCTTTACAGTCACTATAGAACAATCCACTGAAAGGTTCTTTAGGGAAACAAAGCGGTTCCTCTATGCATGGTGCAAAGAAGAGGAATTCTCTTTAAAAAGGTGCCAAAGAGTTCTTTGTGGGTTGCCATAAAAGATCCACTCTTGGCTCCCTAAAGAACAATGTCTGAAAAGGGATTTCTGAGCATGATGGGCCTTTTCAAGATTTAAAGAATGTTTTCATAAAGTACATATTCTACACAAAGAGTTCTTCCTAGAACCTTTACACTATGTGGACGTTCTGCAAACTTTAGGAAGGTTCTTCACACTCACACATCTCATTTTCAAAAATGGTTCACTATAGAACCATCCTTTGAAAGGTTCTATAAGGAACCAAATGTGGTTCTTTGGTGTCCTTTTTGGCACCTTTATTTTAAGACTGTAAACAAAGGTGTTTGTGACGTGCATGAGAGCTGATACTCTGTGGGCAGTTCTTCAAGACGTGAGCTCATTTTACGTCAGTATGTCCAAAGAGCGGCTCAGTTACAATAAATGTTTGATTAAGAAATGCTATCTTTGGATTCAGAGCTAGCCCCGTGAATATGGTTCTAGATCTTAAACCTGGGATATGATAACAAAACATCCACAAATTATGTACAAAACATGTACCTTTTCCAGCTTCACAAGGTTCATTGATAGAATAGAGATGATGTCAGCAGTATCCTCAGGGTATAGTCTGTGATACTCATCTCTGAAACTGAGAAGTCACACATTGTCCGAACTGCACAGTACAATTTACTTTCCAGTATAAAAATGAAAACTACACTCTTAAAAAAGGGTCTTCAAGGGTTCTTTAGTAAAGGGAAGGTTCTATTTAGAGCCATAGGTTCTATATAGAACCACTACATGTTTAAATGGTTCTCTGCATGGTGAAATGGTTCTTCAGACTGATGAAAAATGTGTTGTATATGGTTCTATATTACCAAAAAAGGTTCTTCTATTCTTACAAGCTTGACATCTTAACAATAGAATAACCTTTTTTGGTGCTGTATAGAACCATTTTCAAAAAAGGTTCTATATAGAACCATCTACAACATGTTCTCCATCAGTCTGAAGAACCATTTCATCATGCAAAGAATCATTTAGACATGAAATGGTTCTAAATAGAACCTTTCCCTTACTAAAGAACCCTTGAAGAACCATCTTATTTAAGAATGTAGGCTGACTGATTTGTATTGACCTCACCCATTGTGAGAAAATTCCGTCATGGAACCTAGAGACGTTAGCTTCTGTTCCAGAGATATTATTTTGAAAGCCATGTAACACGAAGACAGGACTAAAACACAGACTCTGTAGGAACAGAACAAAGTAAAAAAAAAAGATCAATGTTTCCTATAGATTAAACAGAAGCTATGAAATATACAAAGGTTGACTCACAGAAATAGGTAGACCATCAGAAGAATGTTAAGTGAATTTGGTCTCAGTGATTTTACATCATGCACTTTCTGTTCATGATCTTAAGGATGGACAAAAAAGACATCTCAACAAAACACTGCGTTTGGTTAATATTCCTTTGTAATATGTGAGTTATAATGAAGATTGGTCTTACTTGCTTGCTGTGGGTGAGAGTCTGAGGCACTGTCCTGTTTCACCACATTCAGAAAAACTTGAGAACGTTTTGGGTACTCTACATAAAAATTACAATGTAAAATAATTATTTTATTCATCTAAACCTTGCTGTGTTCTGTTTACTATTCCAGTAATATCTGTTCTTAATGAGGAATTCTACTGATTTTTCTAAATTTCTGCATAATTAAACCATTAAGATGTAAATATCATTCAGAGTGGTTTGATGTGAAATGCTCAATGCCAGAGAAGCTTGCTGTGTCAGAACTGTTCTCAATAGCGGTGATAGGACCAGACGTCTGAAGCATTTAATGGCTCTAAAAGCAACATGCACAGAATGCTATTTTAAGGGGCATAGCTAGAACTTTTAGAATGTGGTGGCCAGATAAGACCCAGAGACTTTATTGTGGTGGCAAAAAATAAATAATAAAATAGTGTTACTGTATTAAAGTGATAAAAATTACGTGTCCTTTTTCTTCTGTACATACCTCAATCTGTCCATCATTTTCACATGACTAAAAAAATACAGCAATACAACTGTTTCGGAAAGTAAAGTGAAAGACAAAACTGTGTTTAACATATTTTGGTAACATAAGGAAATTATGTATTTGAATCAAGTAAAATAAATGCATCACTTTTTTCCATGCACAATAATAGCTTAAAAAAACATTTCATATAGACAAATCATATAAGTAATTCATTATTCATTCATTCTTGCTTTTGGATTACTATTTTTCCATTATCATCATTACATATTAAACCTCAGGAGACATTTTTAGGCTCACTAGTGGTTTGTATGGCAAATAAAATAAAATCTATATTTGTGTTGTAGACATTGTGACTTCTGGTTCCTATCACCACCACTGTAAAGAAATCTCAGTAAGTTTCTCTATAGTTAAACCACTCTGAATGACTTTGCTCTCATCTCAACCATTACATTTTGCAGAAATCTGAAAAAAATAGTGTAATTCTGAAATCTGATTAAAAACATACCTGGGATTTTCTCATACTCTGGTGAATCTGGAGAGTCTGAGCTACTGCTGTCCCCCATTTCTTGTCTCCTCTGAACTACTGGGCCATCCAGATCGGACAGATCTGCTGAGAAATCCTGTTAAAAAAAACAAAACTACTAATGTGATACTAAATTAAGCAGATATACAGTTGACACTCATATAATTTAAGTCTCATGGTTACCCGTGAGACTCACCTTTTTCCATTTGCTTTTTCCCTTTTTTCCCTTTGCTGTGTTTATAAACATAAATCTCACAGAGGTTCACAAAATTTCACAAACTGCCGGTGTGCTGCAGAGTGTCATCACAGCCAAGGTGGGGCTAATTATCTGGACTGCACCCAGAGTTACTGACTAATCCACTGCTATCAAATTAAAGCCTGCAGACATATAAACTGGCTACAAAAATGGATGCAATGCAAGATCACCCAGTGGCTAAACGTCCCACAAAGACAAGATTTTCTTGTGAATGGAGCTTTCAGTTTGATAGCATTGAGAAGTCAAAACTAGGGGGATGCATTTTGTAAAGTGTATAGGTGGGATATAATAAAGACCACAATGCTTGAAAGTCAAAAGCAGACTGCATGCCCTCACAACACAGAGCAGAGCCCATGAGACTCATCAGCACACGTATACAGATTTCTAATGGCTTGAGATAATTATTGAGATACTTGTTAGATCAGATATTTTTATCAATGTCAAAACAGCTGCCAGTCCTATACTTTAAAAACTGCAATGATAGCAATAAAAGGACAAAAAGAAATCCATACATTTTATATATATATAACCACTGTTCTTTTGAGGACAACGCCTTATTTATTTTTTTCTACAGGTTTACTTTTTCTACAGGTTTTTCCTCACTCATGTCCCTATTTGGCCTAACTGTACTTAAATAAAAGTCTCCTAAAGTCTGTTAACACTGTTAGAAATAAAGGTTCTGTGCAGGTACATTTTTCATTCATCAGGGTACAAACAGTGTAAATGTACCCTTAAAGGTACAACAGTGGTTTTAAGGTTTAATTGCGTACCATAAATAAGTTTTTCCAGGTGAAAAGTATATATTCGTACATTTTCATAACCCAATGTTTTAAAACAGAGCAATAAAATAAAAAGCCTGGAGATGAGACAGGGTGTGTGGAGTCAATACAACTTAGAAAATATAATATCAATGGATTATGGTACAATTATGTTCCTTGACTAAAGGTACTGAGATATACCCTTGAGGGTACCACCACAGTGACAAGAGGGGTACTGCCCCAGGGACAGATTAGTACCTTTTTTCCTGAAAGTGTAGATCTACAGCTGTCATAGAAGAACCATTTGTCGTTCCCTGAAACAGTTTTGTTTTGTCAATGTGAAGTGTGAGTGTGAAGATGTGAGGAACCTGTTGAAATTTTAAAGAACCTACACATAATGGAAAGGTTCCGTGAAAAACATTACATGAAGGTTCTTTAAACCTTTAAAAGGTTCTTCACACTCACACATCTCTATTTCACACATGGTTAAAAGTTAATGTACACTCACCATAGGAAGCGCAGAAGGAGTCACTCTGTAGCTGCTGTCTGTAGGAGAGGGGATGGGGCTGCTTCCCAGACACTTGTCCTGCAGTCAACACAAGATGTTAGCAACTGCCTTTATAGAAAGCAGAGATGTAAAACTAAAGGATTAAAAAGGAACTTTCAACCTGGACTGTGTCAGAAACTCACATCCAGATGTATGCAAACTGACATCAAAACCTTGTACGTGGTGTCTCGGGACAGGAATGACACAAAGACATACTGTAAAGTTAATAAAACATCTATTAGATGATGTATAAAATGTATTGTTAACTAACTATAACAGTTAAGCCTTGTTGGAAGAAAACCTTGTATCTCCAAAATAATGACTTTACAGGAGAAGGAAAAAAATACTTTACTTTTAATGTAAGTCAATAGAATCAGACTTTTTTCCAAGTAATTTTGGGCCGTTTCTTTTGGTCCATTCATCATGAAATTTGCACACAATGTAAAGGGCAACATGTATTTTCAAATTATGTCAAAAACTGAAAAACGACAAAAATGGAGAAACAAGGTTTTCTTAGAGCGTTATACAATATTACCCTCTCTTGTGCTGTGGTGATAACCAGTGCGTTCGGCACTAAGATGGCAGTTTTTGTTTTCTTTATAACCGTTACAGATGAAACTGGGATGGCGATCTGGAAATGAAAGAAGGAAATAAAGACTTGGTTCATCACAAATATCAATCACAGGGGACTCTGATTTCCTTTGTGGTTCCAGTATTTATTTTAGCTGTAGAGGGCATGCATACCTTAGTGTCTTTGCCAAAGACTTTAGAATGGAAACAGATCCAGTTATCAGACACAAAAAGCCTCCCTTGGTACAGAATGTCTTTCTGCAAGGCACAAGTGTAACCTGTGGGGAAAAAACATGCTGGATATTGCCTCACTTACTGATTAGTTAAGATAGAGAGCATGAAAATAGATTCAATTCTATCAATTTAATTTTGGTGTGCTTACTTTGTTTCAACTGCTCATTCTCGCTGATATCTTTGAAAATTTTGTGATATTGGGAATTCGTCCGGGGAAACTGAAAAATCACATAAACAGATTCAAACATTGCTAATCCACACCGGTGCATAACAATGTACATTAATATCAACTGTACAGGAAACATCTAAAACTGTCGAACACAATATAAAACACAAAGTCACTAACATGATAAGAGTGGTGCTTCTTCCTTTCGGTCTTTGACTCTGTGTCACTTTGGACATGTGTCAATAATGAAGGGTCAAATGTTTTGGACCTACAACATGATATCAATGAAAAACGTATTTGCATAGGTATTACTTAGAACATAAAGTGTTGAAAAAGCATCCATTACATATTCTTATACAGTGGGCAATATGGCAAAAAATACAATAACACAATAAACAATATATATGGCCAAATGCAAAAGTTTAGATGGACCTAGTCAACCTAAATGTTTTATTGATTTGTAATTCACAATTACTGTTTATTTGCTGAATTTTACCATAATGAGTGAATTTTAACACATTTTTCCAATGTGTTGAAACTCAGCAAAAATAGAAATTGTGCACTAAGATTAGCAGGAAAATGTCATATTTAAGTGTGTTCCCTGTGGAGGATGTGTTAACTTATTTTCAATTTGAAAATGGACAAAAGCTATTTACAACTTTTCACATACTGCACTAAATACAGTTAAACAGGACCAGTTATGCTCTCTCTCCAATCGAACATGCAGCTGTTTTTAAATCCAAAATCTACGATATGATTAGAAAAGCACTGTGACATAATTCAGTACAATGAAGATAAATATTGTCATATTGCCCACTTACTCATATTACCTATTCATAACATGACAATACAGTCATGGTGCTTTTACCTAATTAGTGTTGGCTTTCTTCTCCTTCCCAACACTTCAGATTCGGCATCCATTGATAAAGCTGCATCTAACTTTATCATTTTTCTTGATCTCTCCTCTGCCCCATTTTCAGCATCGTGGCTGAAAATGACAGGAAAAAGAATGGAACTTTAACCTTCAATTCAATCTTAAAACATACTTAAAACAGTAAAACTCAGTGATCAGAATTTGCTCAACTTTTATCTTTAACTCTTTAGTAAGTGTAGATGAAAGTTTTTCTTCTTTAGTAAAGGCAATTCTATATAGAACTATTTCATGCATGGTGAATCTGTTCTTCAGATTGATGGAGAATGTGTTGTATATGGATCTATATAGAATCTTTATATAGCACCAAAAAGAGTTCCTCTATTCTTAAAGCTTGACATTGTAACAATAGAAGAAAGCTTTTTGGTGCTATATAGAACCATATACAACGCATTCTCCATTCTGAAGAACTTCACCATGGAAATGGCTCATGGTTCTAAACAGAACCATTGCCTTTACTAAAGAATCCTTTAAGAACCATCTTTTTTAAGAGTGTGTTGTATATGCTTCTATAAAAAAAAAGACTTTTTGGAAATGGTTCTATATAGCACCAAAAAGGGTTCTGCTGTTGTTACAAGCTTGACATTGTAACAACAGAAGTACACTTTTTGGTGCTTATAGCACCTTTTTCAAAACTGTTTCATATAGAACCCTATACAACATTAATCTTTCACTATGCAAAGAACCGTTTAGTATGTACATGGTTCTATATGGAACTCATTGTTCTAAACAGAACCACTGCCTAAACTAACGAACCCCTGAGTCTGGAAGCTGAAACATGGAAAGAAAAAAAACAGTCTATTAACGGTCAGTTCAGACTGAACACGCTTTCAGCTGTATTACACACGTCGTTACCTTCCATACACACTGTGTTCAGTCCGTTGGCCACTTCCTGCTGAAAGGTATCGCGTCTTACAAGCAGCTGCGACGAAACTGCTAACTGTGAACGTTATCTAACGCTTTTAGCTGTAATAACGATAACTGTGATAACTGTTGTTCGGTGGCTCTTTTGATGCGTTTCACTTCGCCTTGTCTCTCAGTCTTGGCTCTGTATCACCTCTCGTTCTCTATCGAGTTCACCCAGTTTGACACATTGGCTTAGTTAACTCAGGCTACGTCACGCATCCATTAATTAATTCCTGAGGAGTTAGCACTGTAGCCTACTCGCAACGGCGTGGATAGCCACTGACCACTGAGCCAGGTCTGCAGTCTTCACTGAACCCTCACTGACAGACTGCAGAAAGAGCTGTAGAAGCGAATGCTTAAGACATGCAAGTGACCCCTGATGAAAAAGAATGAAAACCACTTAAAAAGTTCTTCAGAGGTTCTTCAGTAAAGGCAACAGTGCTGTTTGGAGCCATTCATTCTATAGAGAACCATGCGTATATGGTTGTTCGCGTTGTGAAATTTGAAATTTGACGGAGGATGTGTTGTATTTGGTAAAGAACATTTTTGAAAATGGCCATATACAACACAATTCTCCATCAATCTGAAGAATCATTTCACCATGTAAAGAACCATTTAAGCATGAAACGGCTCTACATAGAACTACTCGTTCGAACCATTGCCTTTACTAAAGAACCTTTGAAGAGCCATCTTTTTGAAGTGTGTAAGCCACTACAGGGTTTCTACAGGATGCCTGAGTCTTACAGTACAGTTTAGGTTGCTACAGGAAACTACACAAACAACCAGCTTCTTAAAAAAGGAAGTAAAATAAGTGGATATTTTGTAGTTAATTGAACTATTATTTTAACAGAACAAAATAAAACAAAACAGAATCTGCGTTTTACACGTGATTTAAAGTTTAAACCACTCAAAATTGTATTGCGACACAGTTACTTTACTTAAGACACTAAAATGTTTTACAGTAAAGACTTCTAAAACACTACTACAGGAAAATAGTATGGAAGCAAAATTATGATAAATTGTTATAAAAGTAGAAATCTCAGTTTTATATACTACAGTCATGTGCAAAATGTTTCAGAGCTTATGGTCAAATATGTTTTTGTTGACTTTCTTAGTGAAAATTAGTTAACACTTCTTCTATAGAGAACACACTTCTGCACATTGTAATGTGCAATTACCATGTATTTGCTGAATTTAACATATTGGGGAAAATAAAATGCAAAAAGTATGGCATATTTTATATTTTCTGTTCTATTTTTTTCCAAAATGTTAAACTCAGCAAATAAATAAAAAATGGGCACTAAATTTGTCAAAAATGCCTGTAAATGACATCTTAACTAATTTGCATGTTAACTAATTCAACAAAACATAATTTGACTGGGGTGTTCAAACTTCTGCATACGACTGTATAGATCTTTTTTGTAGGGGACAGTATGAATCCAGCTACAGTGCACACAGTGCAGACGGAGGGAATTTTTCATGAATTTGTCCATTTTAACCAATATAGTGCTTTGATATCCAATTCCTTGTCTGTCCTTCATGAACTTTTGTGCTTGCTGACAGACACAAGACACAAGGCAAAGTCCCCTCTGTCCTTCATAAAGTAAACATAGTGCTGTAGACTGTGTTCTACTGGTGCTCTTTGTAGATACAAGATAAGACTTTTCACAGCAACATGTTGGCATTATTTACCCATTTAAACTGTTTCTTCATCAATTTTGCACCAATTTTGCCAGTAAGGAATTTGTTAACTGTGTTTTATGTCACATGTTAATGAAAGAATGCAAGAATATAAAAGGGCATATATAGACTCACCATTGGGAAACATGTGCTGTCTGTTGACTAGGCGAAACAGAACACGTTGGCCTCTCTGCACTGTTTCTGAGGACAGAGTCATCACAGATAAAAGGTTTCTCCATCAAAAGTCCTAAATGATTCTTCTGTCCTGATAAAGGGATTTGAAAAGACCTGTCTGGGTTTTCAGATTTTAGCTGGTGAGGAGGTCTTTGCTCTGACCCGGTTAATAAATGATTTGTTGGCTCCTCTAGATTTGTAAATATTAGAAAAAACATTACTGTGGGTAAAGGTTTCAGTTCTACAAAGAGTTGCCGTGTTTTTAAATTCTCAGTTGGGTACAATCATAATAAATACATTTACGGTACATTTTCACAATAACTAGACCTGTCTTGGACAGACAAATTGAGTCATACTATATTAATTAAATCACTTAATGAACTTACAATTACTTAAATCATTTAATGATGTTTAATGAAGCTAAACACAGATTCAGTCGTTTTCCAGCCTCCATATACCAGTTTATTTATTTATTCATTTATTTATTTTACATTTTAACATTTGGCAAGTAGTCGGTAGGTAGATGATCTGAAGAGCTGCAAGAAATGAAAGTGCTTAAATGTTCAGAATGTACTTGGAACCTGTAGCCATTGTACCATCCAGATTATTATTATTATTATTATTATTATTATTATTGTTGTTGGTGTTGTTACAAAGTGATGTGTTAAATAACAACACCCTTACTTGTCTTCCTCATTTTAACACTTTGTGTCATATTATCTCACTGCCCCTCAATATTCATTGGATATGACATATTACTAGTTTTTTAAGTTTAATTTGACTTTTGTACATTTGACTATAACCAGTGGTTAACGTTGTTATCATTTTAAAAAAATGTACGTATTCTTCCTGAAATACATTTATGTATTGCTTCATTTATTTGCTCTATAACTGTTACTTGTTAAAAATTGCTCTTTCATTTTTACGCCGATTATTTTCTGATTATTGTATAGCCTATATGTGAGAAAGTTTGAAATCTTTGAAACAAATAAAATGTTCCCCACTATTTTAAACAATTAAACAAGTGACATCCTATTCTTAATCCATAGAGTTTAATATGATGTCAGTCCACCGTTTGCAGCTATAACAGCTTCAACTCCTCTGGGAAGGGAGTGTGTTTATGGGAATTTTTGACCATTCTTCCAGAAGCGCGTTTGTGAGGTCAGACACTGATGTTGGACGAGAAGGCCTGGCTCACAGACTCCACTCTAATTCATCCCAAAGGTATTCTATCAGGTTGAGGTCAGGACTCTGTGCAGGCCAGTCAAGTTCTTCCACACCAGACTCGCTCATCCATGTTTTTATGGACCTTGCTTTGTGCACTGGTGCACAGTCATGTTGGAACAGGAAGGGGCCATCCCCAAACTGTTCCCACAAAGTTGGGAGCATGAAATTGTCCAAACAAGGGGTCGAGCCCAACTCCTGAAAAACAACCCCACATCATAACCCCACCTCCACCAAACTTTACACTTGGCACAATACAGTCAGACAAGTACCATTCTCCTGGCATTCGCCAAACCCAGACTCGTCCATCATCGTCACTCCAGAGAACATGTCTCCACTGCTCTAGAGTCCAGTGGCAGCGCTTTACACTACTGCATTCGATGCTTTGCATTGCGCTTGGTGATGTAAAGCTTGGATGCAGCTGCTCAGCCATGGAGACTCACTCCATGAAGCTCTCTATGCACTGTTCTTGAGCTAATCTGAAGGCCACATGAAGTCTGGAGGTCTGTAGTGATTGACGCTGCAGAAAGTTGGCGACCTCTGCGCACTATGCGCCTCAGCATCTGCTGACCTCGCACTGTCATTTTATATGGCCTACCACTTCGTGGCTGAGTTGCTGTCGTTCCCAATCGCTTCCACTTTGTTATAATACCACTGACAGTTGACTGTAGAATATTCACTAGCGAGGAAATTTCATGACTGGACTTGTTGCACAGGTGGCATCCTATCACGGTAGCACGCTGGAATTCACTGAGCTCCTGAGAGTGACCTATTCTTTCACAAATGTTTGTAGAAGCAGTCTGCATGCCTAGGTGCTTGGTTTTATACACCTATGGCCATGGAAGTGATTGGAACACCTGAATTCAATGATTTGGATGGGTGAGTGAATACTTTTGGCAATTTAGTGTATCTGAGTGTGATCCATACAGGCTGTACATGTTTGCTATTTGAGCGCTGCGTTTGGCCGCTAGAGGCCGCGCTTGTACCGAACAGCAGCAGCTTGAGAGCGAGTCACGTGCCTGCATACGTCACACGTTTACGTCGGCAGAGCCTGTAGCGAATCGTTCTAACCATAGATATGCATACCTAGATGCCACGTTGCCGGTTGTTCTCAATTGGAGGCTATACGTGTGCGCGTCCGCCATGTTGGAACGGTTAAGATCCGCTTGTGAACAAATTCACTTTTATTGAGAGATGATGAGTTTCAGGATTAAATCGGCCACAACTTCCTTAATACCCAACCGATTTTCACCAAATTTATTTTGTTATACTCCTCAGACATGGATTAATCTATGTTGCACGGACTGCTTTCGGTAGCTTTTATTTCTTTAATAACTTATCGTGTTAATTAGCCGTCCTGGCCAACAGGAAGTATTCAGTCTGCACCTGACGTTAAAAACCGCGTTTAGCGCGAGTAGAAACACAAACTCACACACATCAGCAAATCCATCAGTGTGTGAATCACTTCTAATTCTAACACACATAAAAATGAAATAAATACAGTAAGAAGGACGAAGTTTGGCTTCCTATCAGCCAGCTTCTTCTTCGAGTTTTCCCATTCCACCTTAAATGGTGCAGCAGTCACTTTCTGGTGCCTGAAGCTGCACCATTTAAGGTGGAACCAGAAAATTTGAACAAGAAGCTGACTGATGCACCATTTAAGGTGGAACGGGAAAATTCAAACATGCCGCTGGCTGATGCATCATTTAAGGTGGAAATTCGAACGAGAAGCTGGCAAATAAGAAGCCAACTTCAGCTTCATGTAAGGTGCTAAAGTTATGAATATCTACATGGTTTTAAGGAATGCTATAACTTACCAAGCTACAAAGCATTAACCATCATTGTAAATAAATAACTACTACATAAAGTTAAGATCCCCTGAATAGACTATTAAATGAAATAAGCTTAATATAAAACCAGAGGAAAAACTATCCCATTAACAGGTTCTCTGTGCCTCACCAACCACACGACCATATCTACACATGAACATCACACAAACAATACGCATCACACACACATATGAGCATGGATCACGGCGTTTCCTCCGTTATATAATCCTATCCCACTTTCTGAGTGCAATATTCTTGAAATAGTATAATTTTGGACAGTATCTTTCTTAAACTGCCGCTCTGTAATGGTGCTGAAGGCAGTCCAGCAGCGATGTTGACCTCCCTAAAATGGCGGTGCCGTTGACGTGCCTGGCTGGACCCAACGCGGCATCTAGGTATGTGCATCTATGGTGCCAACCCTTCATTTTCACCTTCCTTCCGCTCTTACTCTTTACACAGAGTAGTGGTTTGTCTCGTCTTTGGAATCAGGTTTGAACGTTTAATCACTATTTAACTCACTATTTTCTATTACTTCATATATATATATATTACATTACATACAGAAAGAGACCTGAATATCTGCCTAAATGAAAGCGTGAGAGAAGCGAGCTAAGGTAGCTTAATTCCTGCTAGTCTAGAAACCTGGTAGAATCAGGGGCGGATTGAGTGATTCTGTAGGCAAAATACAGGAATGGAGACCCTGGTTAAACATTTTTAAATTAGTTAAGGCTCTGGGCTCCCAAGTAATGCAGCTGCCTACACTGCAAAAATGTTATCTTGGCAAGTGAAATTGTTTTATTCTATAAAAATTCTGTATTATTATATAAGTCTAACATTTCAAATTTTGAGTTTGTTGCAAGAATATTATAATGGAATTGAATAGAATAGAATCTTTATTGTCATTATACTCCGGTACAAAGAAATTTATTATAGCATCTCTCCTATAGAGGTGACAGAGCAGCAATAATAAAATAAATAAAAGAACTTACAGACAGCAAAATCACTACAAACTACAAAATCAATTCACTTCCGGAAGTTTGGTGTTATAGTGGAAAGATATATATATATATATATATATGTATATATATATAAATCAAATATTGAAACGGAGCAATTTTATTGTTTTTTGAAAAATATATGCCCATTTTGAATTTGATGCCAACAACACATTTCAAAAAAGTTGGGACGGGGGCATGTTTACCACTGTGTTTCATCACCTTTTCCTTTACCAACACTCTGTAAGTGTTTGGGAACTGAGGAGACTGACTGCTGTACTTTTGAAAGTGAAATGTTTTCCCATTTTTGCTTAACATAGGATTTTAGCTGCTCAACAGTTTGGGGTCTCCTTTGTCGTATTTTTCATTTTATAATGTGCCAAATGTTATCAGTGGGTAATGCTGCCAAAACATGTATATATCAGTCAGCATTAATGGTGTCTTCATAAATGTGCCAGTCACCCATGCCATGTGCACTAATGCACTCCCATCCCATCACAGATGCTGGCTTTTGAACTGTGCACTCATAACAAGCTGAGTGGTCTTTAGACGGAAGGACACAGTGTCCATGATTTCCAGAAAGAAATTCAAATGTTGATTCGTCTGGTTTTCAGCCTTGACCCTTACATACGGAGATTTCTCCAAATTCACTGAATTGGAGAAAATTTTAATGTTATTATGCACTGTAGATGATGAAAAGCAGATGTTCTTTGATATTTTACGTTGAGAAACTTTATTTTTGAATTGTTGCACAATTTGCTCGTGCAGTCTTTCACAGAGTGGTGAACCCCTCCTCATCTTTACTTCTGAAAGACTCTCTGGAATGCTTTTTTGTACCCAATCATGTTATTGACCTGTTGCCAGTCAACCACCAGGTGTTTTTTAAGCATTACACAACTTTACCAGCCTTTTGTTGCCCCCGTCCCAACTTTTTTGGAAAGTGTTGTTGGCATCAAATTCAAAATGGGCATATATTTTTCAAAAAACAATAAAATTGCTCAGTTTCAGCCTTTGATATGTTGTCTTTGAAACATTTTCAATAATAGATAGGGTTTAAATGATTTGCACATCATTGCATTTTGTTTTTATTTACATTTTTCACAGCATCCCAACTTTTTTGGAAATGGGGTTGTATATATACGTTACTTTTTTCTGAAATAATAAGTAATGTAATCACATTAGCTTTGGGGGGTGGCACTGTATTGAAAGCACTGAAAATAATCACTACAGTTGCAAAGAACGGCTAGGAAACCTAAAACTGTGCATGTATTCCCTTCATTAACCCCTACCTTGTCTAGTGGTGCCTTAAAATAGATCACAACACATTTGTTTACTCCTTCTCGAGAAAAAGTCCTCGAGTGGACCTCCCCAGTTGCTCACATTCTCGACACTGATTTCTAAATGTCAAATATGCTAATGCTGTTTTAAATGGAAAAAGTTCAGATGATGGCCTATCTGTGTACCCACAGCCAAAAAAAGGAACAGTTTAATTAATGGAACAGTTAAAACTTTTACCTTAAACTAATCGCCTTGGCAATTTCATAGTAGTAACTGCAGCTAACAATAACACTCACTGCAGCTGTGCAATCATCCTCCCCAAGGGGGAAAGGGGAAGCATATCAAATACAATTCCTCTGTATAGCTGTGCCAAATCCAGACATCACTGTGGAATATGACAGCTGTGACTTTGTGTGACTAGATATTCAGTACGATTATATTACACTATCTGTGTCAGATGATCTCAAATGCTAATGGAAAAAATGTTGCAGCACCATTTTGGAGATCATATGAGATGAAAGAAAATATTAAATAGCACACACTTCTTCAAAATCACACCATCCTAAAACAGTATATTTTGTGTGCTGTATCACAATGGCACTTTAACTTATAATGGAAGTTAATGTAAAGTTGTCTTAATCAAGATGTTGGTTATTAAGCCGTTACTTCATGCTTTCTTTCTTTTTTTCTTTCTTCTTTTATTTTAGCTCAGTTGAACATGACAAGTGCTCAGATGAGTGCTAATGATGAGATGGTTCAGCAGTTCCTGGATAGTGCATCCAGGGGTGACATAGTGAGAGTTTCTGCTATGATTTCTCACTCCAGTCATCTGCTCAATGAAAGTGGGAAACAAGGCTGGACAGCTTTAATGTTAGCTGCAAGAAATGGACACTTTGATGTGGTAAAATTATTACTTTCAAAGGGGTAAGTTTTAAAATGTTAGATGCTTAGTTACATGCTTAAAAGTTAAAGCTGCAATTGCCTTTAAAATGTACACAAGTACTTATACAGGCCAAAATAAGTATGCAAGTACTTATACAGGCCAAAATACAGGAATTTTTGTCAGTCATCATTCTTTTTGTTCTTAACAGGAGTAATAAAGATTTGATGAACAAGTCAGGCCAAACTGCTCATGATATAGCAAAATTTTGGGGTCACAAACACATTGCCAGTTTGTTGGTTAGTGGTGGGGACAGCAGCCTTAATGAACTTCTACCTCACACTGGAGCTATGGATCATGAGAATTACTTCAATAGAGAGTATCTCGACAGAAGGAGTGATAAAAGGACAGACTCAGGATGGCTTGCAGCTAAACAGATCTCTCCAAAGACTGTGTTTCTTCTGTTTCATAATTTAGAGCCTCTTGTTACATCAGGGCCAGAAGAAGTGAACAATAGTAAGCCTAAGTTAAAATTGTGCAGGCTCAGAAGAGACTCTGTGGATGAACTAATCAAAAAGAGTGACACAGTAGTTGTTTTTCTGGGAGTTGAGAAGCAAAAACGTTCACCTTCTACACTGCTGTCAGAAGAGGAGGATGGACTTATTGCATGGTTTGCTCTGAATACCCAGGACAATCCCACAGAAAGCCTCAGGTCCACAGATTCAAACAGATTCTTCCTTAAGGGGACAATGCCAGGACTTTTATTACTAAATGAAGATGAAGCAGGTGGGACATGGGTTAAATTAATCTTTGATTAAATTTCTCAATAAACTGTTTAGAATTGTAAAGAGGATGCCCGGGAGATATAGTAATGGGCAATTTTTTATTTTTACATGCTAGTGCATTTGTGTAGAGTATTACATTTTTGCAAACACTAAGCTGTAAGGTAAAATTGAAGGGTCATTTCTGCCAATTTTTCACAATTTCTGCATGAGAACATTTTGAAGATATAAACAGAGTCATTCAAAGTGGTTTGATGTGAAATGCTCCTTTCTAGAGAAACTTGCAGAGTACATAGCAGCAGTGATATGAACCAGATGTCTCAAGTGCCTCTAAAAGCTACATCACAAAAAGTTATTAAACAACATAATTATGTCAATGTTGCGTAATGCCTGAGACATGGATCTATGGTAGTTTAAGATAAGGGTTTGGTCTAAAAAATCTTTTTCATACATTCTTGATGGAGTGGTAGATGCAGAGAGCTGTAAGGCAAAAGAACAACAGAGGAAAGCTTTTTTCAGGTTAACTTTACCATTATTAACATTAGATATAATACTCAGAAGGCACATGTAGGTTCATTGGTCATTTTTGGTAGTTAATCAAATATTTTTGCATTAATTGCATTTTGGCTATAGTTGCATTGTAGATTTTGCAACTTGTGGTTCCTATCACCTATAGTGTACAGAAATCTAAATCTGTAATTTTCTTTACAGCACAAAAATTTCACATGAGACCACTCTGGGAGATTTTCTTTATATCTTTTTTACATTTTAAAATCCTACTTTAAATTACTTTTGGTTATGCACAGGTGTAATTGCACAGGCCAGATCTGTTCTTGCGTGGCACAGCCGATACAGTTTTTGTCCAACATGTGGAGGCCAGACCAAAGTGGATGAAGGAGGTTACAAGAGAACCTGCTTGTCAGAGGGCTGCAAGAGTCTTCAGGGAATCCACAGTACATGTTATCCTAGAGTTGGCAAGTAACCTCCCTTATTGCTTTTGTTATCTATTAGAAATCATGGTTGTCAGATCCACCATGACATAATTTGTGCTGCTGTTTCGATTTTACTGGGCAGATCCTGTTGTGATCATGCTGGTCATTCACCCAGATGGGAATCAGTGCTTACTAGGGAGAAAGAAGACTTTTCCTCCAGGGATGTTCTCCTGCCTTGCTGGATTCATTGAACCAGGTAGATGAAATTCCTTGCACAGGAATGTCTTATTAATGCAAATGTAGGAACTGTTTATACTGAGTTGTCCTAGTACCTGTCCTAGTACACCTACACATTAAAATTTCAACCTAGAACTTAAAATGACATTCCAATTTTACCATTCATTTTGAGTTAATTGGACATTGTTTTACAACTGGTTGACCCCTGTCACATCACATCAACGAAGAAAGAAAAATTGGAATTACACATTAAGGCTTATTACTCATCCACTTGTACATTGTCCTTTAGGCAGATTTTACAATTATGACCATACATTTTTAGACGTCAACAAAGTTCTTGTGTCTACAAGATGAAATAAAAATGCAGACTTTCAGTTTTAATTTGAAAGTGTTTACATCCAAATCAGGTGAACCATGTAAGAACTACAACTTATGCATACACCCCCATTTTAGGGACTCAAACAGAATTGGACAATTGCCTGATCAGCTGTTCCATGTCTGTGTTATTCCCTCATTACTTTATTTTGGAAATAAAGGAAGCTTTCAGAAACTATTGCTGTTAACTCTCAATATGAAGAGCTGTCACTTACAGTAAAGTGCAGCATCAATTGACTGATATATCAGAGAAATAGCAAAAACTTTAAGCGTGACACCACCTTTAAAAAGAAAGAACACACTGGTAAGCTCAGAAACTCCAAAAGGTCAAGAAGACAACAGAAAAAACTGTGAAAAACCCCTTCATAGCATTTTAGCAGATAAAGAACATCCTCCAGGAAGTAGGCTTATCTGTTTTAAAGTCAAGAGAAGACTTTACCAGAGTAAGTACTGAGGATTTACCACAAGATGTAAACCCTTAGTGAAAAACAGGAAACAGTAAGACCAGATTAGAGTTAAAAAAAAACATTTACAAAAGCCTGCACAGTTCTGGAACAAAATCTCATAGACAAATGATTCAAAGATCAACTTGAACCAGAATGATGGGGACAAAAGAGTACAGAGAAGTGAAACAACTCTACCATGCAAAGAAGAAACCATATATAAACAGGATCCAGAAGTGTCGCTGTCTTCTTTGGGCCCGAGCTAATTTACAAATAAATTACAAATTCAAAATAGGTATTTCAAAGAATGCCACGTCTTCCAGGCTAAAGAGGAGTGGGACCGTCCAGTTTGTTATCAGCCCATAGTTTAAAAGCCAGTATCAAGTGTTTACAGAGTGTTTTTAAAAGAAGAGGTGTTGCAACACAGTGGTAAATATGCTCTTGTCCCAGCTTTTTTTAAATGTATTGCTGGCATAAAATTCAAAATGGGCATATATTTTTCAAAAAACAATAAAAATTCTCAATTCTAACATTTGATATGTTGTCTTTGTACTATTTTCATTTATATATATATAGGGCTTAAATGATTTGCATATAATTAAGTTCTGATTTTAATTACATTTTGCACAGCTTACCAAACTTGTGGAAATGGGTTATAATTTCTTCTCATTATCATAATAAGCTCCATGGACAAAAAAATTGTCACCTTGTATGTTTAAATATTTTAAAAAACACTTCGCTTTTAACTGCATACCATGAACATATGAGTGGCACACGAGGCCCTAGCTTACTTCTGCTCACAAAGTTGCCCAGTTACAGTGGGTGAAGAGACACAAAAATTGGACTGTTCATGACTGGAAACGTTATCTGGTCAGATGAATCTTGTTTCTGCCTGTAGGTGTCATGTTCATCGTAGACCTCAGAAAGCCTTCAGTGAGGACTGCGTGCAAGGTGTGGTTCAAGCTGGAGGAGGCTCTGTGATGTTCTGGGGAGTGTTTTAATTATGCGTAAATGGGTTCTTTGGTTGAGGTGACAGTAAATTTGAACCTCAGTGCCTACATTGAGCTGCTGGACAACCAGGTTTTACCTTTTATTCATCATCTTACCGAGGAACATAACATTCCTATCCCTGTATTCCAAGATGACAGTTCACAGGGCTGCAAATGTGACTGATTGGCGTGATGAACTTTCAGGAGCATTCACACATCTGCGCTGGCCCGCAAAATCCCCAGATTTGAAACCTCTTGAAAATCTGTGGGACTACCTGGAACAACAAGTAAGACGCCAGGGAAGGCATCCACGAAATCTGGCTGAACTGCACAATTCCTTGATGCAAGAGTGGCTGAACACTTATGTCGCCTACATCCAGAAACTTGCCCAGTCCATTTGAATCGCTGCTGTTATTCGTGTTTGTGGAGGTATTACCTGCTATTAGGTTTCAGTCACAAGTGACAATTTTTTTGTCTAGTGAGCTTATATTCATTGAACTCCAATATGTTGTGATGGACAGCTAAACTAACAATAACTTTGTTGATGTCCAAATATCTATAGACCTGACTGTATGGTGTGTCTGTTGAAACAGGTGAGACCATTGAGAATGCAGTTAGAAGGGAGGTTCTGGAAGAGAGTGGTGTTACTGTCGGCCCTGTTCAGTATGTGTCCTGCCAGCCTTGGCCGATGCCATCCTCGCTAATGATTGGTTGCTTGTCAGTAGCAGTGTCTACAGACATCAAGGTTGATAAAAATGAAATTGAAGAGGCTTGCTGGTTCACAAGACAACAGGTAAGACTGCCCAGTTCTGTAAAGTAAGCCTGTTATTCTTCAAACGCAGATTTGCCCATTTTGCAATGAAGGCAAACGCCTTTTGCACAGTGGTTGACCATATTTTCTTCTCTGTCAAATTTCATCTAAAGAACATATGCACAAATATATGTAGCCATGCACAAGAAGGTTTATCAACCTCAAATCAGAAAAAGTTGGCATGTATGGAAAATGCAAATAAAAAAAGAAAGAAGTGATGTCTGAAGTTTACATTGACTTATATTTCCTTGCAGACAGTATGAACACAATACATTGCATGTTTTCTCTAGTCAACATTTTCATTTGTAGATATACATCCATTCCTGCCATTCAGGCCTGCAACACATTTCAAGAAAAGTCGGGATGGAGGCAATTTAGGTCCTGTACTGAGATAAAATAATTAAATAATGATGTGATTTGAAACAGGTGATGCCAGCAGATCACTGTATTCATAATTTGGTACAAAAGCAGCATCTAGGTCTTTTAGGAGCAAAGATGGGCTGAGGATCGCCAGTTTGCCAACAAATGCGTGAGAAAATTATGGAAATATTTAAACACAATGTTCCTCAAAGAAAGCTACGAAGGGATGGTTATTTTACCCTCTACAGTGCATAGCATAAACACATAGACAAAATTGTTGGTACCCTTCTGTTAAAGAAAGAAAAACCCACTGAAATTGAAGAGACAGATAATACGAATGGTAACCAAAGAGCCCAGAACAACTTCCAAAGAGATTAGAGGTGAACTCTAAGGTCAAGGTACATCAGTGTCAGATCGCACCATCCGTCGCTGTTTTAGCCAAAGTGGACTTAATGGAAGACGACCGAGGAGGAAACCACTGTTGAAAGCAAATCATAAAAAAGCGAGAATGGAATTTGCCAAAATGCATATTGAAAAGCCAAAAAGCTTCTGGGAAAATGTCCCTTGGACAGATGAGACAAAACTGGAGCTTTTTGGCAAGTCACAACAGCTCTATGTTCACAGATGCAAAAATGAAGCATACAAAGAAAAGAACATTGTACCTACTCTGAAACATGAAGGAGGCTCGGTTATGTTTTGGGCCTGCTTTTCTGTATCTGGTACAGGGTGTTTTGAATCTGTGCAGGGTACAATGAAATCTCAAGACTATCAAGGCATTCTGGAGCGAAATGTGTTGCCCAATGTCAGAAAGCTTGGTCTCAGTCGCAGGTCTTGAGTCCTTCAGCAAGATAATGACCCAAAACACACAGCTAAAAACATCCAAGAATGGCTAAGAGCAAAGCATTGGACTATTCTGAAGTGGCCTTCTATGAGCCATGATCTAAATCCTATTGAACATCTGTGGAAAGAGCTGAAACATGCAGTCTGGAGTAGGCACCCTTCAAACCTGAGACAGCTGGAGCAGTTTGCTCATGAGGAGTGGGCCAAAATACCTGTGGACAGGTGCAGAAGTCTCATTGAGAGTTGCAGAAATTGCTTGATTGCAGTGATTGCCTCAAAAGGTTGTGCAATATTAACGGTACCATCATTTTTGTCCAGGCCAGTTTTATTAGTTTGTTTTTTTTAATTATTCTGTTGAACCACAATTCAAAAACAATGTCTGATTTTCATTAGTTGATTTTCAGTAATTTTTTATTTATTATTACTTTTAGCAGTTTCAAGTTATTTCAGTGACCACTGTGGGTTTTTCTTTCTTTAATGGAAGGGTACCAACAATTTTGTCCACGTGTGTATTAAAAGATTCAGTGAATCTCAGTGCCAAAGGTTCAGGGGGCAAGCTTAGGCCTAATAACTGTGCTCTCCAATCCCTCAGATTGCACTGCATCAAGAACCGTGATTGCTCTATAAGTGATATAACCACATGGGCTCAGGATTACTTTGGCAAACCTTTGCAAACACTGCAGTATGTAGTTACATCCACAAATGCCAGTTAAAACTTTACTTTGCTAAAAGCAAGCCTTATGCTAACCATGTCCAGATGCACCGTCCATGACCGTAACTACCATCTGTGCATATTTCAGCAAGACAATGCATAACTACTTTCTGCACACATTACGAAGGCATGCTGTGGAAAAAAAGGATGCGGGTGCTGGACTGGCCTGCCTACAGTCCCAACCTGTCCCCAGAAGCAAATGTGTCACTTTTAAAACGCAAAATGCGACAACGGACAACCCCGTGCTATTGCACACCTTAAAGCTTGTTAAATTAAAGTGTTGTGAAAAGTAAATCCAACATGGCAAAAGGTAAATGCTTTACTGTCGTGACATTTTTTGAAATATGTTGCAACAATCAAAACTGAAGTGTGTTTATCTTTTTGAAAAACCAATAAAATTCATTAGGTAAAACATCATGTGCTGTTGCATTGTTTTCAGTGTAATGCAGGTCAAAAATAATTCACAAATCAATTTTTAGTTTTAATTTTTGGCTGTAATTTTGTAATTTTTTTGTTATTTGGTCAAACCTGATAAGATGTAATAATATATTTTCATAACTTGGTCCATTCTACAGGTCATAGATGCTATTGCAAAGAGCGACCAAGCAGTTTTCACCATGCCTCCAAGACAAGCTATTGCGCATTACCTAGTAAAACACTGGATTGGCGTTAACTCAAACCTTTGAGCTGAATGTTAAATTGTCATCATGAATTGACAAAAATTGTAAAAATGCTTTGAAAATAGAAACAGACACAGTTATGATTTATAATACTTCTGTATGTGTGGCTGACTTACCACTTCATGCTAGAGAAGTTTATTCAAAAAAGAGATTTGTGTAACATTTGCTTAATGAAGCAGTTGTTTTATTTCAGTTGTTTTCATCTCTGAATATTTCTGTTTCTTAATTGGGAAAACATGCTGATCATAATCTGTATCCTGTATATTGCATGAAAATCATGCAATGAATTCAGTTCTAGTCTTCAGCTGGAGAACATGAAACAAAGTATGAACTGCACTACAGATTTGATTTCACTTGTTAATTGACAAGATCAGTAAAATGGGGTTATTGTGAACCAGTTTCCACATGCTGTGGTTTTTTATGAAATTAAGAGTGCCTTTGACCTATCTAGTAACACTGTGGGGAGAACATTAAGACAGGCTACACAAATGTTGATATGTTGACACTCCATTCTCGTTTTGACTAGTCCAGTGAGGATGTGGGTGTTACATTGAGTCAAAAGTTGAAGATGTGTTAGAGATGCAACTGACGAGTTGAAATGCCGATTTCAATGATCAGAAAAATGATACATGTTGGATTGATTGACCCAGTAAATTTAATTTATAGTTTTACTTGCAGTTTTCAATTTGGGAGCATGAAACAAATTGTTGAGTGTGGACAGCACTGCACTCTGCAGTGAAATATGCATAATATACGTTAAATATTTTTGGTTTTGATTTCACTTGATAATTGTAAAGATTAATAAAATAGGATTTTATTGTGAACAACTTTAATTCTTTTATTGCCACATGGTGTGACTTTGGTAGTTGTTTCTGGTGCATTAACATACAATGTAATACATACATATAGTAAACAATATGCAATACAATACAATACACATTAAACAATATATAGTATATGAGAATTATGGGAAAATACACAATAATTTCATCAATGCATTCTTATAAAAGCTGGAAATCTTACAGGCAGACAATAATGTACACTACACAGAAGAGTTTAGTAACCTTATCGCAAATGGAAACATCACAGCATCACAAAAACTAGTAATTTCTCTTAATAAAATGTACCACAATGTCACAGTCTCCCTTTTGATATGTGGCAGAGATTGTGTGTATTATTAACATGGAACACCACACATAAAGTATTAAACTGTTAAGTACTAAAAATACATTACTTCAACTAAACTACAGACAGTAAGTCTACATAAAGTAAGAGCTTCTTAAATTCGCAACCAGCGACAAGTCCATTATCCTCTGATATCTAAAGGATATTATTACATATGTTAAGACAATGGGAAGCACAGTTAAAAAATATATTAAGCAGTGCAGAGCATTCCTTAAAGATGCAGTTGTCAACACCTGTTGTAATAATTAGGTTGCTGTCTAAGCTGGTGCTAAAAGAGAATGAATGCTTGCACAGTTATGGAATGGTCTCTGTTGTTATTTTAGTTATTCAGTAATCTTAGCTAGTACTCTCAGGTATGTAACAATTTTCAACATAACCAAAGTTATCAGGAAGCAAAGGCAAATCAACATACTCAGTAAGACTAGGGGAAGCCTCAGAATTTTCCGCACCATCATTTTCCACTGCACTGTTATCAGGAAGGTACATCATGTCTTCGTCAACCACTCCTTTTTCTGAGAACTTTTGGTGCTCCATTTGCATGAGAGCCTTTTCAATGAGTTGATTGGTCAGTGAGAAATCCTCCAACTGTAGCACCCTCATAACAGTATCTTTCTGTCAAAGAAATTAATATTTATGCAATGATTTCACAGATTCTGCACTGTTTATATGAAAGATGTTTGAGTATATTTGAAAGTGTCCCACATATTTTCTTTGAAGTTTCTTAAATTTCTCAACTTTTTCAGCTTTTCTGTCATTTAGCTCCAAACCAAACTTCAAAACAGTGCAAATTTGAGTAGTGGAAGAGCTTTTTCACACCAAGCACATAATCAAATGGAATTCCACCCAATTCTGGGACAGCTTTTTATCTTTCATTTTTCTTGGTTTCGTACATGAATGTTACTACACTGTAGCCTGTATTTTTCTTTATATGTATTTTTCATGTGATGTTAATTTATTATATTAACTCCTACTCTTTGACTCTGATTGTACCCGATATCAGAACAACAGATGTATTTAAATCAAAAGACTTACCTCATGGAAAGGATTTAGCAGCCAGCGTCCAATAACACTATGGCTGGGGTTCGCAATGCTGGGGAAGAAGTAGTCCTTATAACTGTAAAAGAAGAAATGTAAGATATGAGAATGTGAGATGAAGGATGTATGTTCAGAAATAAGAACAAATGAGAACGTTTTGTAATTATTGTAACAAAGAATAGGGACTTCAGGACAGCAGGAATTGGAAACATTGGCAACATTTTATGGATTAAGTAAAGCAAATGCTCTGCTTTAATAAACTTTCAAGAGAAAAGGGTGGTACGTACATTGTTCTTGAGAGAACTGAGAAAATACCAAATCCAAATATCAGAAGTACTATTGGAACTGCAGCTTTTATGATTTCATCGTTTTCTGAAAAATGGATAAAAATTGCAATTGCACTTAACTAACGAAATTAACAAGCGGTTCTCAGGCTCTGTTCAAAAAGAAATGGTTTACTTACCATAAAGAGGTGTAGTAAATTCAATATTTGTCTTTTTAAAGTTACCCGACTTGGTTTCTCCGTAAATAGACACGGAGTACTTGACATTTGTCTGTAGTTTGTAGAATGAGTGTTGACACTGGTGTGGAAAAACTGTTAAAACTGAAGAAAAAGAAAAAAAATATTTTTTCAAAAAACAAAAACTGCAAAGCGATGTTTACAATTAACATTTAAGAAATGTAAAAAATACATTTAAAATAAATTTGTAAGCTTACATTTTGTTTCACTTTCATCTAGAGCACTTAATGCAAGTCTGTACTGAAGTACATTCGTGCCATTGGCTTTTCTCTGCCACACCCATCGGACTGTCACAGATGTTTTTGTCACATTCACAAGTCGGAGGTGGACAATGTCCAAAAGAGCTGTAGAAACCCACAGTACACTTAGACAACTCAGAGGATTTGAAGATGGTTTATAAAGAGTTACAGCTTTACTTACTGCCATTCTCTAAGCTGGCCTGGACTGACTCTGAAGGTCCACAGAGACTTTCATAAAGGGGATACACATTGATAGTGTAGATCTCCAGTTGTTTGATACTGTCTGAAATAAAGTTGGGGAGACAGTTGTTAAACTGACATATAACGGAAAAGTGAGGCACAACCTATTTTTTTTGTTCTTTTGCTAAATAATTGTAGAGTTTTTGAGAGAGATGATCATTTTAATACAAAAAACATATACATCTCTAAAAGTAAATAAAAATTGTTCCCAGCACGTACTACTTATGAACAGTTCAGCCAAAAGTGGAGTGAGTGCAAACATTACAACTAACCCCATAGGTTAATTGTAACAGATGGACAGGCTAGCTGTAACAGTTACAGAATGTTTTATTGACACAAAACATAAATAATACAGTTCTATTATGCTTGAAGCAGATGGCCTTTCCAGTATAAAGCTACACCATGTAAGATTTGGGGATTTGGAGAACTTTCTGATAGAAATGTGTAATTGTAATGACTGGAAGAGCATTTTCTAAAGTCGATTATGCTTAAGACCCCTTCCCCTAGGAGATGAATTGGATGATTGCAGTGCATGATGAAGTGCATTTATAGAGTATTCAAAGATGACTCTGTCAAAACTTGGTGAACAGCTTGTAAGTAAACGAACTACTATGCTACTATACTATAAAGCTGTTTAACTACATTACATTTTACCTTATATTAGTTTGTGCTCTGCTCTGCACTACTTATTTTTGTAAGTCTGACTTTTAAAAGTGAAATGTCACATGATGTATAATAATTTGGAAATAGTAGCCTATATGGCTCGCATCCAATAGGGTAGTTGTGTTGCATCCTAATAAAAAAATAAAACAAATAATAAGTAAATCTTTTGCTAGATTTACCTGTTAGAACAGTTGAAAATGTGGCACCATTAACTCTTTTCCACTGACTAGAGGCAGCATGACTGAGCGAGAACCACTCAATGGCAAACTCACTAACACTCACAGCTGCCGTCTCTGTCTCCCATCGAATCCTCAGTGAATCTGCTTCAGTGCTGGCCCAGAGTCCTTTGACTCCTGGCAAACCTGTTTGGAAACCATTAAAAGAATATCCTTTACATAAACGCAGGATATATTTTGATAAATATACTTTAACATGTATTACCTAACTGTTAATTAACTCAATGATTTTTCACGACACTTTTTTAATTTCCTCAAAACAAGCAGATGACAGGCCAGAAAAACTACTGCATGAAATAACAAAACCAGAGCCCAGTTTCCCAAAAGCATCCTAGTTTCAAGATGGTAGAGAGCGTGTTAACTGTGATGCTCTTTCAACCATTTAAGAATCATTTTCGTGCTAAGATGCTTTTGGGATCTTAGCATCTTTCCAGCCCAGAACAACAACTTAAACACATTTTGACAATAGCTTAGTTTAGTGTATTTCATAAGGCAAGTATATGAACAAAACTTTTTAATTTAATTAAGAAATGAATTGCTTTGCATCAGTATGTGAAGATTACAGCGGGGGGCATGGTAACATAAACACAGTAAAATATCTAGTTTCCTCAGAGGCAGATAAAACTGACATGTACATGAGTATTGCACAATCAGGAAAGGACTGCAAGTGGTGTGATGCTTCAGTGACAGTTGAAAGATGTTATCCAGATTTTATCTCTTGCCAAGAACAGCATGCAGCCTAAAAAACTCTACAAATGTTTATGTAAAAAGAACAAGCATAAAAATAGGAGGAGAAATAGCAGCTTACTTTCATAAGAAGCAGTGTTAATTCTAACATGACGAACAGGAGATTGGCCAGCACTGTTATAGGCCATCAATGTTACGTTGTAGTCTCCAGGAGCCACCTCTAACTCAGCCTTCAGGTTATTGGTAATTATTTTGGCCAGAGCTGGTTGCTTGGTTGATGCGTAGGTCACCTCATATCCAAGAATGACCCCTCGAGCCACATTTATCGCTAAAGCCTAATACACATTAGATAATTAAATGCATAAGGACAATTATTAAGAAATTAATAGGCTGCCATTTTTAAACAAAGCAGTGCACATTATAACTTGAACTTACCTTCCATACTAGTAGGAGCTTTTGAGTTCTGAAGGTGTTGTCTAGTGACTCAACACGGTAACTGACATTAGGTGGTGCAGTTGGGACTAAAAATAGAAAAGATGTTAGGTAGATATGACTATCCAGAACAGTCATATTAAATCTTACGGCCCACACTTTCCCTGCTTACCACCCTCTAATGTCTTTGCTTGAAATTCTGCACTCCATTCACTCAGCATTCCATATTCCCCAATGCAGGCAACAGTAAGACTGTACTGGCTTAAAGGTTGCAGGCCCTCAATAACATGAAATGTTTCAGAATCTTCTTCCTTGAGGATAATGAAGTGGGACATAAATGTAAATACATTTTAAACAAGAATCATATAATTCATGCACTGCTCTTAAGCCGTTGACCCACTAGATAGATTTCTTGATGGCTGATTTCCAAGAAGCTTCAGTCTAGGTTAGAATCTACATATCAAGTATATAATCAACACATCAGCGAAGATTTAATTGATAAAAGATTCTACCCAAAATATCAGTTAATTTGTTAAATTATCATTGTTTCATTTAATCATACCTCCATCCATTCATTCATGGTTGAGTGTTTGTACCGTACAAGACATTTTTTGCTTTCCCATTGTTTGATCCATGTTACATTCAGTGATGTCTCTGTAGCATTCACTGATATGACATCAGGACGTGGAAACTGGACTAAAACACAAATCCATGTGATTTTCAAATATTTTTCATATTTTAACACAAATAACTAATTTTAAGGCAAAACCCAAACCTTCACTCTTGTAAAAGAGACTATGATGAGTAATTGTAAGCATACCTATGTTTTCTATAGTTATTGAGTAGACTTCCGAAAATCTTTCGATTTTCCTATGGGGATCCTTTGACTTTATGGTTAGGTTAAAACCAGAAAGTAAGTTTAAAATAGAAGGGCAGTGGCTGAAGCCTTTGTTTCTGAAATACAGGAGAAAAAACATCACAGTGAACATGCAACAGAAACGGAATTACGAAAAATGGAGTTGATTCTGTGGAAGCTCCAAACAGTAATATGTACAGTGTAATGTGTTAGCACTCAAAAGAAGTACTCTCACTTAAATCAGCAAATTTTACTCAGCTTAGTAATTTTATAAGCTTGTAACATCCAAACAAGTCTTAGTAAAGTAAAAGCCCTGAGCTTTTGTACTCAAAACACAGAGGTTGCTAAATAAAAATTTGAGAAAGATGTGTGTTGTTTGTGTTGTGCTAGTACAAGTCCTGTGGGAAACGTCCTGTGACCACTGATGAAGGACTAGAGGATGACCAACACAAACTGTGCAGCAACAGAGGTGAACCAAAAAAGTAAGTGTGTCTAATAGAGTGGACAGTGAGTAGAAACAGTATTTAAAAACTCCAGCAGCACTGCTGTGTCTGATCCACTCATACCAGCGCAATACACATTAATACACAACATCATGTGAGTGTCACTGCAGTGAGAATGATCCACTACCCAAATAAAACCTGCTCTGTGGTGGTCTTGTGGGGGTCCTGACCATTGAAGAACAGGGTGAAAGGGGGTAACAAAGTATGCAGAGAAACAGATGTACTACGGTCTGTAATTGTACAGACATTAAACATTGAACATTGTTTTGGCCAAGCCAGTCTAGCAATGCTGGCTTGTTAAGTGGTCGTTTTATTTTAGGCTAAATGTCTTTAAGAACTTCTGGGACTACAAGCTCAGGTCATGGCTGTCACCATAGCTGAGCAAAGCTAAATCAGTAGCTGGAGACAGAATGTTTCAAACACAAACCACCCTAGAAAGTCCAGTGCTTCCCCCGATAGTTCTCTTTTCACCAACTGCCAATGGCAAAAATGGTAGTGAACACTTTCTCTGATCACAGGATAATTTATTGTTTCCCAGTTGTACAAAAGGTGGATAACTAAGAGCATTCAATCATTCATTTATTTATTTGAAATTAAAATTGTATGTAGCTAACTTACTTCAGTCCATTTACTATAATAACTACTGCATACATCCAATAATGTCAACTTTGATGGCTCTGCCAATAAACATGACACGGAATCGCTTTGTTGTATTTCAGCATCAGCTTAACTTCCATGAAAGTACCATGAATTGCAGCGGCATCACTACCTGACCTTCCGAGTCCCGAAATGCTCGCGCATCCCTGTTGCTTACTAATTATTCAACATGGTATTTAAAAAATTACGTCCATATGTGATATGCCATTTATTCCCATCTTTCTATGGTAGAAGAATAATGTGAAACGAAATCACCTCGGTTTAATGTATTATTGGTATGCTCCAACATATTTGTTGTTATACGTATGACCACATACTACCACACTAATATGCTAATATAATTTATGTCAAAAATAGTACACCACCCATAGAAGTCCATTTGTTAGTGTACAATGTGTAGTACAGCAATATGTGGTTTTGGATGCATCTTAGGCTTTAGTGCATCCGTTTATAGATTGCTGGAAGTTTAGCCCATATTTCACTCAAGGCACAATGGGGCATAGGATTATCATGGATTATTAGTGTTGTTTTCAAACAAATACAGGCATATTGCCCAGATAAATGGCTTTACATCTCATTTTCTCTAGTGAGCGACTTTGTAAGAGACCTCTAGTGAAAATATATTATCAACATAATAATTTGAGAGAAAGTATGATCTTTGACATTTTCACCATGAATTTCAGAATTTCTTAGTATTTTTTATGTGTCCCACTTTGGCTTGCACTTTAGATCTTTTGGAACAAAGGCCTTAACATGGTCAGTTTCACAAATATGCTTACATTTGAATAATGACCTAGAAATAGTGTGGAATCTTAAAACTTTCTGTTGTTTATTTCCAGGTTTCTATGAATTTTCAGGCAACAAAAGACTTACCGACTGAAAATAAATGAATGTATCATCTTGGTTTTGACATCATTTAAATAAGTCCATTTGCATCCAAAGGATTTCTCATTGAAAAGATAACGACACGATGTGTTCAAAAACATGTCTAGCATGGAGTGAAAACATACAAATCAGAACAGTAACTGGAAATACAGTGGAACAATATGACATAAAATATCTTTCTCAGAAAATGACTGAATCCAGAATCAAACATGAGACAAGAAATGCCTTACTGTTCCCATGTGCTGAAACAGAGCCACAGTCGTTAGTATCCAAAACACAAATGTGTTTTTGGTGCTCACATACTTTCAGGTCTTTACCAGTCACGGTAAGTTCTGTTAAAAACAATAAAACATGTATAATGTGCAAGTGCTGCATAATGTCTATCAATTGCTAAAACAAAGAATATTTCCACTACAAAATAGTCAATGATGACACACTTGAAATACGTATTGTATGCAAAAGCTTTGTGTGCCCCTGGTGAAATTACATTTTTTGTTGATTTCTGAAAATGAGTTAACACATTTTCTACAGAGAACACACTTCTGCACATTTTATTGCACAATCACTCTTTATTTGCTGAATTTGACATATTGAGGGAGAAAATAAAACATAAAATGTGGCCTGTGCAAAAGTTACAACACATTGTATATTTAATGTTTTACTTTTTTCCAGTGTGTTAAATTCAGCAAAAAAGCGAAATTGTGCGCTGAAATTTGCTAGAAAAATGCCATATCTATGTTTCCTGAAGATCATGTGTTAATTTATTTTTGACTTAGAAATCAACAAAATATGTAATTATATTGCAGGTGTTCAAATTTGCATTTAACTTTAAATGTGTGCATGACACTGACCTACACTCAAAAATATGGTTATTTATTTTCTTTAGTAAAGAAAACGGTTCTGTAAAGAACCCTTTGCATGATTAACAGATGCTTTGAAACTTGAAAGCACCCTTCAGACTGATGGAGTATGTGTTGTATATGGTGCTGTATAGAACCTTTTTGAAAAGCACCAAAAAGGTTCTATAGAGAACCACATATAACACATTCTCCATCAATCTGAAGAACCATTTCACCATGCAAAAATCCATTTAAGCATGCAAAGGGTTCTTTAAGTGTTCATGGTTTTATACAGAACCATTTTCTTTACTAAAGATCCCTTGAACAACCATCTTTTTTAATTGTGTTACAGATATCTATGTGACAGATGGTTATGTACCTCAGACCTATTTATGTACCTTGTTCTGCTTAGTAGGCAGATCATTTATTAGTAATGTCTTATTTTGATTATGATGATTTCTTTTCATTCTATGTTTATATGGGCACATTTAAAAATTAAGTTTAAGTGAAATCTGAAGCATTAGAAGGAATGCTGTTCTATTTCACAGGCATACCCCACCATTTTGTGATGTTTTATAGCTAAACTAACAACAGATTGACCTTTCACCTGACTAAGATAAGCTAATGAATGTTCAGTAATGGTAGGAGGAAGGGTTTTTTGCTACACAGAGCTGCCACTGAGAAATTACACAAAAGGAGAGTGGATGAAGCTTTGTGATCAACACCCAAGCAAATGGAGCATTCACAAATATACAGTGCTTTAACTACTGTTCCAGTTTCATATAGGCCTTTCTAAATGAGTAAGTCTGAAAAAAGCATATAAAAAGGGTGTAACTTTTGTTATGATCAAGCCTGAAGTGAGATTTGGTGGCCAATGCATCAGAGCTTTTGGTTCTCTCTTCCTTCTGTTGAAAAAGTAAATAAAAGAATGGCACATAAACATAGTCTAAATGTAGGTGTATAAGAATGCATTTACCTGTGTAAGTGTAACTTTTTGGTTGCTTTCCATTTACAGGCCATTGTAAGGTAAGCGTATCTGTTTATTACAAATTATTACAAATTAGCTTAGTTCAGTTTGTTCATTGGATCAGATTAAAACAAGATATTTTTGCAATTTCAATTCTGTACTACTCACAGTGACATAAGCAGACCAAACAGGAAAGGAGGCAGAAAGTGCATCTACTGCTCATATTTTCCTTTAGAAATTAACCTTGAAGAATCCTTCTGTAATATTCTTTAATCAGAATTCTAATGGTTATAACATGACATGTTTATTGACACATTCACATAAACACCTCTGACATGCAAGAAGACATTTTAAATTTTCTCTATGAAATGAAGAAACAACTACGCCTTTTTAAGTATTTATGCAGCAAAAGTCACATCATATGGCCTTAACTATATTTACCGTATTGTGAAGGTGGCCTATGCCATGTAGACATGCAGTGACCTAAAACAATTCAGTGTAAAAAGTAATGCAAAAACAAAAATTTACTTGCCTTTGCTTGTCATCACGGTGTACGCTGTTGGGCACTGTCAGGAAGAGAACAACATCTGTAATGAGCCAGTTGTTGCAGCAGCACTTGCATCATCTCTCTGTGGTTACACAGTTAGAGAGTTATACAATCATGATGAATCACATGTTCCAAGGAAGGTCAGCAACATGACCCTGTATAAAATGGGTGTTTCTGATAAAGTGATTAATAATAAGCATAAAGTGCTGTAGAAAAGTACTAGATGATTTCTTCTGGTTTTGCATATTGGCCACGCTTAATTGTTTCAGATAAAGGAAACCTGAGTACACACAAAACACAGCTTTTAAATGATCTTTTCATTTACTGAAGGAAAAAGGTTATCCAACACCACCTGGCACCATGTGACACTAATTGCTGATTGCCCTCTTACTTATTCAGTCAGCCAGTAAAGCGAATTTAATTGATCACTGGGGTCAACTAAACTAGACACTCCCAGGCTTGATTACTGCCAGCTCTGAATCTAAACTTACAGTAGAACACTGAAATTGAATCTTTCCTAAAAGATCTCCTCAGCAAGCGGGCTTTTTTTCGTTTAAACCAGGAAATAAACAGCAGAACGTTTTAGAATTTTGAAAAGTTTAAAACAAAAAAGTTATGACCAGTAATATGAAGAAATAGTCAAGATTATGCACTATTTCTTGGTCACTATTCAAATGTAAGGCAAGGTGTCACACTGACCATGTTAATGCCTTCATACAAAAAAGACTGGCTGGTGAAGCAACAGCTCTCAGTTGGATTTGATCTACTCATCAGAGGATTTCATACAAACTTGTGGATGTCATCTTGAGTGCACGCTGACATTAAAGTAAAAAGAGGGACATACCAAATACAAAGATTCTTGTAAAAATTTCAAAGATTCTACTTTTCACAATTTGTTATGCTGATAATATCATTTGCAATTAAAAAAACAGCAAATAGAAGCATGTTCACTAGTGGTCTCAGACTACTGGACCCCACTTTACACTTGTTTGAAAATAACAGTCAAACAGTTTTATCCATTACAATCAAACAATTACCTCATAGCCTATGGTATATTATTAGTACTAAATTTAGCTAGTATGTAACAGTTATGTTGTTAAACAGTGTTCCCATAATTAAAATATTCATAATAATCACTCCACATATGCCTTATAGTTAAAGACATTTTGTTCAGAAAATAAGATTATATTAAATACTTAAGAGTATAATCTCCATAGAAATGCCGTGCCCATAGAATTGGACGCTCTGGTGCAGCTGCACATGAGCTAAAGGGCACTGTGCTTAAAGCTGAGCACCAGCTAGAGGGGTATAAAGCCCCCCAGCATTGGGCGTTGGAGCAGTGGATCTGTATTCTCTGGAGTGATGGAGCTCCATCATATACTTTTGGGATCAGTCGAGTCTCATTTGTGATCCAGAAGTGCCTGACTAATGTCGCTGAATACAATCAAATCCTCGCAGCAATATTTCGACACCTACACTGTCAGAACAAGGATACTGTATGAGCCTTACTTTTGCATTATTTGCCTGTATACTTTTGTCCCCGGAGGTAAACGGTCATATTTGTACATTAACTTTTTTAAAAGAAAAACAAAAAGCTTGGAGTCAATATAGGGTGTAAGGAGTCAATGCAACTTAAAAAAAAGTACTTAAACAGAATAGAGTACAATTATGTCCACTAGCTAAAAGCATTACAGTTCAGCCTTTGAGGATACCCACTCAGGGAAAGTGCCTAAAAGGTAGCATTTAATTAATTTTTTTAGTGTGTAGTGTAAAGCCATCCCGGATGAGTAGAGGCTGTTACTGGAGCAAAAGGGGGGTACTACCTTTGGATACTTTTAGTGTGGTCAAATGAGAACCACACATAAAGGGTTAAAGGTGACTACATCATCTTTAATTAATGTTATGGAACTCCTAGCGGCTGGCCCTTTCAGCAGCAATGTTTCAATGAATTGCTTGTCAGAAATACTAATAGCAATCTCTTACTAGTCTAGACTGGAGTACTTTCGACATGCTTCTCTCCTTCTCTCTCTTTCTGTATATTTGCACACACACACCAGTAGAAATGCTCCAAAATCACTTTTTTGCCTTCTCCTGTAAAGTTATTATTTTGGAGATGCATGTTTTTCTTTGGACAGTGATGATATGCACCTTTACACAGATATCTTTAAATATACAGTAGGTGACTGCACAAATCATTGGAAGAATACCTCAGACTTAAAGTACAAATGAGTAAATTCAGCAGTACAGTTTTAAAAGAAAAGACTTTCTGAATTGTTATATATGCGCTAGAATGTCACTGTCAATAATGACACTTAAGTACTCTTCACTACCAGCTATAAAGGCACTTGGAATTCATATACGATGACTATAGACAATATGAAGTGTGTTGTATCTTCTGGTTGGGTATGCATGCAAATGGGCAGTGAACGGAATGTTTGGGTCAGGCCTCAATATTGTCAAACACTGTTAAATAAAAAGTCACCCATTTTCTATTCTAAGCACGGCCTTTTAGAATCATTGTGCACTGAGGACTCGTGTCAGGTTTACTTCCATGCAGCCATTTTAATGCTGTGAGTAATGGAATCTTTTTCACATTTCTACTTGCAGACTAGGGTAAATCCCTGGTACTTAATGAGGATTATGTTGTTTATAGATATTTATTACAACCCTGCAGAGGGTAATTAGATTTCACTTTCCTTTAAAAAAAAAAAAGTGATCCCCCTATGTAAAGTCATGTGCTTTGGGATTTGGCAGGAATAAACACCTATACCAGGTGTGTCAGGGGAGATCTACTACAATGCAGACTTCAGCATTTTCCCTGCCTTAACACTTCTGACAAAACTAGTCAGCTATATACCTCAAAGATGGTACTCCCCTCATCTATACACTAAGGGTATCAGTATATTCAACTACGTATCCATGTAAATAGATATCATAAGCGCTAGTGAAACCATTGCAGTTTTTGAGTTTACTTATACTGTAGGTTGCTGATGTATTTACTTTCATTATTGGGATGTACAGGAATATACTTCTAATAATTTGACCCATAATTGGATTATGTGCCCCCTATCAACATATGGGCACAAAAAAAAGCATCTCACTCATACATAACATGCTGGTATTTCACACTGATAAATACAGTAGATAAATAAAAAAAATAGGTACAAGAGAACATATTTCTATTTGCATAAAAAAGAGAAAAATCATGGACAAATCAGAGAAGGCTACTCAGATTACTAAACAGTAAGTCAATGTAGATATAAATTCAGCCAATGCTTTTTAAATCTTTCATATGACCAACTTAAAAGACACCTTCCAAAGCTGTTCTTTACATTCCATACACAGCATCACTAACTCAATCTGGATATTCTTTATATTGTGGGACTTATTTCTTAGTAAGTGGTCCTGAACTCCAATACTCTTGTTTGAAAACTTTATTAATTACAAAAAGTAGACAGCCAAGCACGACTTACAAAAATCGGTAACTCCAATGAGGTTAGAACAATAACTGTACATGTTTACAATTTAAATATGTTCCCTAGTTTATGGACTGCTAAAGTAATCTCTCCTGAGAGCTGTAATTTTTGCCTTAAGAAATTTCCAATGAATTCACAGTAAAATATGTCACAGTACACCCATATCTGGGGCAAGTTCCTTTGAAAATTGGCATTGCATGTCGGAAGCCTGGAGTGCTTAATAGCATGGTTGAGCTTTGTCCAAACCTCTTCAACACTCTGCGGTGCACAATTCAGCTCACAAATAATCCATTTGGCTCTCTGGTGGAAGTGAAGTCTGTATCTCTCAATAGTCTTGTGGAACTGTCTAGAGAAAGACTGTGTGCTCTCATTTGTTCTCATTTTATGTGAAAAGACACTCCATGACCTTTTAAATTTTTCTGACACATTCTCAACTTGTGCAGGCCCCTTTCTATCAACTGCTTCTGGGCTTGTTACCAATTTCCTCTTACAGACGTCTTTATCACCTGGACATTGACTTCTATAAAACTCGAACTCTGATCTCTGCAGACATCTGGAACTTTTCAACAGCTTCGATGAAATTACTGGAGGAGCATTTTTAGGTTTGATTGGCAAAGATCTGTCAGCGGCAGAAGGAAACCAAGGTGTGAATGCTGGCAAAGCACGGCAGGGAAAGTCCTCCAAGGCCCTCTGTGTTATGAACACTACATCGTTCAGTTTATCTTGGTCCTTCTTGTAATGCAAGCATACATCCATCCAGTAAAGTGTGCAGCTCCCTGTTAATCTTGCAGTTTCTGCTTTAAGAGAACAGAAAAACAAACTTAAGAGTCACCTAGCTAGCGTAATCAAGTTTTATTTACTTATTCAATCACTAAAGAAAAACTCAGCTATTAATGTATAGCAGCATAGGTTCAAAGGCTTTTATGCTTACTAGTTAGCTAACTAGCATAGCGTCCTCTATTATGTGTTTACTAGATATATTGGCGACTTTAGCTTTAGGCTTATATTATGACTTCAGCTGCAACAATCACAAAGTTGAACAATATTATGAAAATATAATTAAACGGTGGACACATGGCGAAAAATATACGTCTTACCTTAATTTAGACACTTCCCAGAAGGAATATATATGTAAAATAATTTCATTTAATCAGGTCCAGCGTCTGTGTTGCTAAGAAGAAAACACTGTAAGCGGTTTGTTTTTCTGCGCATGCCCGGTACGGAGATCGCCTACTCGCATACTGCCACCTACTGTATAGCATTTAACAAACTTGGAATACAAGCTAAACAATATATACTATCTATTACCCTACTGGAAAAAATTGTAGAAACCCATATAAATCATTGGTTCCTGATAGTTTTGTAATGTGTTTTGGCTTTTTTTAATGGGTTGATATCACAATGTAAAGGGTTCTAACAGGTTTAAAGGTGTTCTACAGGAAACTGGGGTCTTGTTAAAGCAATGGATATGCACCTAATATAATACATATAATGTATGATGTTCTATGTTCTTCTTTCGTTGTCCTTTTCTGTTTTCTCATATTATTTACTTCAGTACATTTAATATGTATGAATATTATGTGTGATATTGTCTCACTATTTGCACTCTAAATACGAGTTTCTAACCTCCTCACCAGCAGAGGGTGATGTGGAGTACACACCTAAGACTGCGCGAAGAACAGCGTCTGCTGTTTTTTTCATTCCGCTGCATTTAGCTTCACTGAAATGTGAGTGTATAATTCAACGTATTGTCCAGCATTAAAGCAGTCGCTTAATTTCAGGAAAGACATACGTTAGAAGATGGCTTATTTAACGACGAACCCTGCTGAGAAAGAGAGGTAAGTTAATTGATCAAGTCTGCATTCCCCTAGCAAGCTAATTCCCGACGGTAACAGCTTGGCCCGAATGAAGTTAGTAGCTAGCTAAGTAAACGTGTACAATCGCTGAACGAATCAGTTGGCCAAACGCTGGCACAGCGCGAAAATACGCATGGGTTAATGTAGCTATTTTATTAATATTCTAATTAAAAACAATGTAGATTCATTTAGAAAGCGATACTTTCCATCTGTATGATGATTGGGCGATCCAGTATGCCTACCACACTGATCTTTATTGTGGTATTGTGTTCCTGCATATTGTGAAATCTTCATATAGTGCCAATTTAGCAAAGTTCAAGAAATTCTTCCATGTTATTCATGGCAAGAAACATAGCATGCACACTAAATTAGGCTTATGCATCCAGCTAAATGTTACTGAATTTAAGCAGTTGTATTAAGTTTTAGTTGTGTAGTGCTTTTCCTAAGACATTTTCACAAAGCTGCTAGGGGTCCAAACCCCTAATGAGCAAACTGAAGGCAAGAGATCCAAGGAAAAGTCCCTAAGACCTGAATTAAAAAAAATTAAAGAAAATTAAAGAAAATTAAACCTGCACTCAAGGAGGAACCCACACTTAAGAAGGGAACCCTTCATTTTCTGTGTGATGAAGATATTAAGATAAAGAAAATTACAAGCAAGATTAACATAAACACCTGGATCAAACAGAAGAAAGAACTGTAAGATAAGCTGATGGCTAATGTTAAAATTCTATTAGAAAGCTTTCAGAAAAGATCTGGCGTATGGTTTGTGTTAGATATATACAGGATGTGATATTTGAACATAGGAGGTTAGGATAGGATTACATCTTTCAGAAACAGGAATCTTGCAGGAATCTGAGTTTTATTTTACTTGTATAGTTTCCTGTTACATGCTATGGCTGAGCAATATGTAAAAAAATTTTATATCATGACATTTCAAGACATTTTCATGATACACATTATGCATCAAAGTATTTAGAGTTTTCTGAGATTTAATAAGTTGGAACAGACAAAATAGAGCCTACAGTGCCACATATAAAATATTATTATTATTATTATTATTATTATTATATTTAATAATAAACCCATACTATTTTACATACTATACTGCAAAATAATCCTATTAAACACCCAATTATGCTGTCTTTATAGTGAAACATGTACTTAGTCAATGTTTCTTAAGGACTGACAATATCCAGGCTATTTTCAGAAAAGCATATTGTGACACAATTTATCACGATAAGGCTAGAATATTGTCATATTGCCCACACCTATTACATATCGTTACTTTTTCGTCTGGTTAAAATGTTCCTCAATTTCTTACAGGTTTTTGTGTATATATCCAGCTTACATAAACAGTAAAAAGACATTAGCGGAAGGCCGAAGAATACCAAGTGAAAAGGTGAGTATGGTGCTGCCACACTCAGGTTTTTCATTTCTAATTAATAGAGTTGAGTCATGGGAAAATGTGTATATAGGTATTACTGTTTTTCTGTGCATGTCATTGTCTTTTTCTGCCTTTTCAGATTCTGGCATTTCTTTGTGAAAGCACCACTCTTTAATCAACTTATTTTTCTTCTTCGCTTAGGCGGTGGAAAACCCTTCATGTGTTGAAATTAAGGATGTTCTAACTGCTGCAGGAATGAATGTCTATGTTGAGGTACTGTTGTTGCAGTCTGTCTGGACTTCAAACCACCAACTACATTTTTATATTAGTTTTTGAAGATCATGTTAGGATTAACCAACTGAAACTGGAGCAATTTTAAACTATCTGGCCTGTAAATAAATCTTTCACTTAGTTTCAGAAAAAATGCATCTGTATTCAGATTCATTGAGTAACAATCTAACAACAAAAACCTTTAAAAGGTTTTGAATAGTCCAAAAATAATCAGCAGACCGTTAACTTACTTCAGGAGATTTCCTTTGCTCTCAAAAAGTAAATGCAAGGAATCAACCAATGTTTTTAGCCAGCTACACAAAAATCCTAATAGTGAGGATATTTTTATTTCTGTCATTGAAGACCTGTCTTGGCTCAGTGAATGACCGTTAAATAGTTTCTCTGGCTTATATCAATCCACAAAAACTGATTATTAGATGTTGAATTGGGGAATGCTTAAATAGATTAATGTACCGTTTGGACAATGTTGTCTACTGCTCAGACTTTCTGAAAATATATTATAAAATTCATTTTCCGTTACCTTTTATAGAGACCATGTAAAGCTGTAAGGAGGAGTCGCAGAGCAAGAGAGAGCGAGTTTTCGTTTTCGTGTAGGTCACATAGGGTTGTGGTTGTTTTTAAATCAGCGTTCATTCAGTGTCATCATGGCCAATGTTAGTTTTCTTAGATAGTTTAATGTTGATCCAACACAGTGTTGGCACTGAGATTTAATCTTTGACCAAAATGATAATTTTGATAACATAAGTATCAACATCTCTATCTATCAGAGCTCTGAGCATAGCAGTGGCATGTTAGTGTATGTGTGCTGCACAGAGTGGATCATGCACAGCAGTGTTTTTAAACAACTCCATGTCAGTGCTAGGCTGAGAATATCAACCACCAACCAGCCAGGTGTCCTTTAGCCAGAAACTGACCATTTATAATAGACTAGAGGCTGAGTGTCTAACTCAGCGAGGTATGCGTGTTCAAATCCCTTTTCACACATAAGACCTGAGACATTACTGGGATACTTATGGGATATGTACCCATAACGTTTGGGCTTTGTGTCATTCACATATACACCCCTAAATGGTATTTTACCAGAATGTAAATGTTCATACTTGCCATGTAATTCCTGGTAAACAGGACATGACATTTTTAGCATAAATGGCCAAAAGCTACAAAAATACACTCCTGTGGCAATTTTCTCCTTGAACACTGAACACTCTAGAGTGGAAAACAAACATGTAGCACAGACATTTTGCTTTATGGGCCATGCTGCATCCCCTTTGGCGCAGTAGCTGTGCACACAAGCAGGCTATTTTTGCTGCTTCTTTGTAGAATCATGTACAGAAAAATGGAGTTTTCACTTGCCAAAAGAACCTAGAATGCTCAGTTATTAAACTAAATTATCCCAGAAATGTACTTTGTCTGTTGGAATCTAGACACAGTTGTATTTACAAATAACGTATTGGCTTTTATATACATATTAACCCTCCTGTTAATTACCCAGGCGTTATACTAGAGCCATTTGATTGCCTGGATTTCAACTCCAGCTCGTGTTCACACTTAAACCTTTCTTGTTTAATTCCTTTCAAATACCAGAGCAAGAAGTGCAGGTGTTAAAAGGGCTATAGTGGATAGAAAGCGTACCCAGTATTTAATAGCTCCAGCAGCGCTGCTGTGTCTGAGCCACTGTATTATAGCAACACTCAATATCATGTCACTACCATGTGAGTGTCACTGCAGTGCTCAGAATGATCCATCACCCAAATAAAACCTGCTCATTTGTGGTATTGCATATGTTCTGACTACTGATGAATAGGATAAAGTAAAGCTAGCAAATAATACAGATAAACCGATGGACCACATTCTGTAGTTATAGAACTGCTAATGCACCTCTATGATAAGTGGACTTAATAAAATGGACAAGGAGTGTAGGTACAAGGTAGGTGGACTTATGAAAGTAGCCAGCGAGTTTGTGTCTGTTTTCGTTTAGTTGCATGCCATCTACTGAGTCAGTGTGAAATAACACCTTAACTTTGATTTTCTTTTTGCGTTAACATACAGAACAAGATGTATCCAAGAGAATGGAATAGAGATGTACAGTTCAGAGGCAGAGTGCGAGTTCAAATCAAAGAAGAGGATGGAAGCTTGTGTCAAGATAAGTTTACCTCAAGTAAGCATATTATAATGCAATAATAATGGACCAGTGTTTCTTCCTGAGGTACCACAGGACTGCTATTTCAGTGTGTCCTTGCTCGACCAAACCCAAATTAAACTTGTTTAATGTTAACTAATAATTATTCTGCCTAGAAGATCCCCATAATATTTGTGTTGATATCACCATGTGCCATATCTGATTTTCCCTCTTTATTCTTTTTGAATTTAATGGACAATCATGATGTGTAGTTTTATTAAAATTTCTATTATATATATTTTAAGCTACACATTTGCATATGATTACTGTATGAATTTTAATTACACTATATGCTGTGTTTCTGTGAAAATCAGTCATGGTCAACTAGTTAAGATCTGAAATTTAATTTAATTTGGGTAATTTACATTAGCATGGTTATATGTACTGTATCTGCTCTTTAAGTTTATACCCTTAAATATTTCTTTAAAAGCTATCTCCTTTTGATCTATTTTCTCCCAAAATAGACTGTTTCAAAAAATAAGATTGGGCCTCTTTCACTAACTGTTCGTAAGAAGAATGTTCTTCTTAAAACCCACTTATGCAGTTTTTATGTAAAGGTGTGACAAAGGTGTGAACAATTTTGCGGTTTAAGAACACATCATGAATCTGACGTAATCTTTTTCTTAGGACCTTTCTCAAGAACACATTTAAGAAAAAAACTTAGGAAGATACTGGTGAATGAGGCCAATTGACCTTTGGTCTGGAGTTTTTTTTAGGTCTGGTTAATAACACCTTCAAGTTTCACCAGGGACTAAGCCATGTTTCCTATTTGTTGCTAGAAAAAGATGTTATGTTCTACGTGGCTGAGATGATACCGAAATTGAAGACTAGGACACAGAAAAGTGGGGGCAGTGACTCAGGAGCACAACAAGGAGAAGGAGGAAAGAAGGGAAAGAAAAAGAAGAAGTAACTGCTTTTCTTTAATTGGAAGATTCATCTTGGCAGTTTTTTTTTTGGCAGTTTTTTTGCCAACTGACCAGTACAGGAGCAGATCATGATGGAGGTTTAGACAATTAAGGTGTGCTTGTTATTTCTTTTCTTTTTTAAACTAGTTTAATCAGCTTTGTGGATACATGTCAGTAGACAAGCTCTGCATTTCTGAAGTGTCTGTTTTGTTTAGGGCAGTAATTCTAAACAGTCTTTTCACAGACTCTTTTGGCTTTAGTTGTGTTAACACCTTGGAACATACAGAACATTTATTGTGTACTGTAAAGAAGAGTTTATCAATGGTTTATCTACAAGAATGCAGGACTATTTAATCAGTTTTAATTGTATTTTTTTCAGCAAAGAATAAAACATAAAATAAAAAACGCAGTTGATTACTTGCTGCTGATTGCATTTTATTTATTTATTTTTACCCAGTACAATTTTCAAAGCATATCTTTACAGCTATGAGTTCAGGATCTCTTTCCTTTTGGTTTCAGTTCATAATAAATAATTGCTTTGATTTCTTATGCTTAATGATTTTACATTAACTGTTGAATTGCGCACATGGTTTTTATTACTGTCTAACCGTATTTGTCAAAAGTCTGTTTCAGAATGTGTTGTATGTTACATTGATGTAATTATTTTTTCTTTCATTGTCTGTTGAGCACCTAAATGGCTAAGATACTATGAAAATGCTAAGACCACTATTACTAACCGATGGACATCTGTTATTGTTTCATTAAAGCACTAAGTAGCACAGTGTTTTTGAAGAGGGGCATGCCCACATCAGAATTTTTGAAAACTGAATTCGGGGTTAAATAGTTTTAATTAAGTGAAACTTTGTTAGGTCAGTGTTACTATTTATTTAATGAAACTTCATACAATTGAGTGGGTTTTTTTAAGCTGACAATCAAAAAAAGCTGAAACACAACTATAAGTGGTGTTCAAATAAGATTGGGCTATTATCATTTAGTACCACCACTTGAGTGGTACTAAATGATAATAGAGATAATAGAGGTTGAGAACAAAGTTCATTGGCTTGTCATCTAATTTTTTATTTGTTTTTTTTATGGCATTTGAGCATTGCAAAGTATGTTCATTTATTGAAATTTTGTAGAAGGTTAATATCGGTAGTACTATTTACTTGTTTTTTTAGAATACGATTGATGGAGGTGATGTCAGCGAAAAAATTAGGTTAATATTTCTTTAAGTGCAGTATGTAGCCATAGGGATTATGTATTTCAACAGGGGTGTAAACACATTGATATGCCTGACATGTCTTTGGCGATCAGACAGTTTATACTTGCCCATGCCCTTCACACCACCTGTTTGTTGTAGAGGACTGTAGTGACAAGCGAAATGGGACTAATTTTGTTTGGATTACTTGCTCTTGGTCATATTAGCTTTCATTGTACAGATGAAAAGCTACTGTACACATCCAAACAGACACAAAGGAGTGAGCAGAGAGAAAACTTTATTGACTATGAAATGTTTGAGCATAGAAATGTCAAAAGTCATTCTTGATCAATCTGCTTGACTACAGTTGTCTTCAAGACATGTCCATCATTGAAATTCTTGAGATGTTTTGTTCGACTTTCAAGTCGCATGACCCATTCATCACGGAGCCTACATAAACACGTTAAACATGTTAAAATAGGCAGTTATGCAAGAGGCACAATTGAGCTTTATAGGATAAGCAATAATTCATGCAAGCTTGTTCCTAAATAACAAATCTAATAAGTTCTGCAAAATCTCTGAGCAACTATAGCTTTATCTTCTGGGAGTTTTTACAGTTATGGTTCCATTTCTGTAACTGTTCTACTGGCACATTTTTTGGATGACTATTTGGGAGTTCTTAAATTACAGCATTTAGTTAAGCTTCTGATCACCATAAAAAACAGGCTGGTGTAAAAGACTAAGCAAAACAACATACTAAAAGCTTATAACCCTACATTTTTTCTAGGCAATTCAATCATCTGAATTATTTTATTGTAAACTATGTTAATACATCTTAACATTTTTTGTTATGACAAAACCACCAAGTTATCTGATCTATGTTGTTCATTAAATTTTTACAGTATTTATGAGATATTTGACATGTAATTGCAAAGAGACAGCACTGAAAATAAAATGCACAAACACAAGAGAGCAACTTCTTACTTTGATAGAGCGCTGTTCTTCATCCTTTGTTCCTCACTTTCTGTCAGCTGGTTATGCTTCACAATCTTTTGCTCCCAGAAAGTTTTGATGAACAACTTGTCATGAATTAGTGCCGCATTCATTTCCTATGTACCGGGACCAAATATTTGACTCACCATGACTAATTAACAAATAACTGTTTTTTTTAACTCAGTAATCAAAATATTAGCCACACACTGAGGACAAGCAGAAAATAGGCAAAAGGTGACTGACATATTGTAGCTGTCAGAACAAAACCTTGTAGCTCCGAAGTGGTAATGTTATATGAAAAGTAAAAAAAAAAAAAACATTCTTAACAACTAGCATTCTCACTGTGTGTTAATGTGACATGATTTCATTCCAAATGATTCTGGACCATTTTTGTTGGTCCATTCATCATGAAATATTCATACAGTGTAAAGAGCAGCTGATGTTTTCAAATTATGTAAAAATAAATTAATAAATAAAAATGACCAAAAAAAAAAAAATACAAGGTTGTGTTCTGACAACAACTATATGTTAAAGTAAGCAAAAGCATTCAAACATGCATCTATCCATATGTGTTCATTTTGCTAGATATAGCAAAGTAAACCAAAGCATCACATCATGGTAATCTTACGTTTCATTGGAGCTCCAGAAATTAGTTATACAAAATGTTGTTGCTGGTTTAATATCTTATGGTTTGCCTGCAAAAAGAGTAACATATACTGAGACTAACCTAATGGAGAGTGGAATCCTTTCTGTGTTAGAGTTAAAGCTGCCTCTAATGGTAGCACTAAAAAGGAAGATTACCTTCCCAGTTCCCTCCCCAGAGAAGTATACGAAAGAACCAACTGTGCAGAGGAACTAAGTAATATTTGAGATGTTGGAAGCTGCAGTGGAATCGTGCCACAATTCCCACTGTGCACCATGTTGCATCAGATGACATTCGGATTAGTGGAAACCCATAACAATGTTGTAGTACTCAACAGGTGCCACAGAGTCATAATAAGCACGAGCTTCTCAGATCACTCCCCATCATGGACGCTGTACTCAGGGTGATGTATTTACATGTTCTGGTGAGTCACTGGAGATCCTCAGCATCAGCATTTAATGTAATTTAAATTGGTACGCATCATGGCCAAAGTAGCTGGCAGGACAAATGTGAATATGCAAGCAGCAAAGTAATGCTGGTTGCCTTGGATCTTATTACTGGGGGCAAACAACTGATGTTCGTATCAAGTTCACATCTATACCCATCTATACACCCATGATTCGCATTTCAGACAGCTTTATGCTTATAGTTGTTAAGTAAGGTTATGCATGAAGCATCACGCTCCCCTTTTGGCATTCCAAACACTTGATTATGAATTCTAATTAATATTGTTAATAGATGCTGTGTTTTCACTAACAAGTTGAAATGCACAATAGAGATGACAGGCAACAATGGTGCTTACATGAAAACTCAAGAAAAACGAGGTAGGCAAGGGAAAAGCTACAAAGGCTGAGGCTATTTTGGTATGAGGAGGTCAGCTGGGGCATTGTCTGTAAGTGAGCAGTCTGTTGTATTTGTCATTGATCTAAATCACATTAGCACCAGCTCAACTCCATGTTCTGCTGCAGAGGGCCAACACTATTCTGGAAAATATGGAGTGCAATACAAATCTGATAGCACATGCTTGACATTTCATTTCTTTAGAGCATGATATATTCTAAGCCCAGGGTCTTAACCATAGGTCAAGTAAGACTAACATGATCTATTTCTGTTCCTGGAGCAGTGCTCTCAAAAGCATGTAATTATGTTATCAGTTACTAACACTAATTAAGACATAAGACACTACTGAGAAGGGGGTCTATGAGTCATCTTTTAAAAATAAACTTGAATGCATAATGTGCTGTAATAAATTGTGTTGCCTATATTGAAAATATCCTGATGCACAAAGCATCTTAAGCTTGTTAGCTTGGAACCAGGGGTTAAATTGAGCTGGAGCAGAGCTCTGGCATGTTTGGCTCATGTGAATGGCAAGAGAAGCCGAGTCCTGGCGCTATCATTTAATAGAAATAGAAATGGAAATCATTTCTAACACATTCTTCAGGAAATTCATTCAACTGTTTGATATAACAAACTCTGTTGACAGGCCCTTTATAGCCACATGCTACAACTGTGGTAAAGAAAGCTTGGTTAGCAATTCAGGATTTTGACAGATATAAATCGGTGGTGAAACTGCTCCTGTAAGTAAAAGCTACTAGACCCTGGTGCATTTTCTTAGTCCTAATTTGTGAATGTACATGACTGCCAATATTACATTTCAGGACTTTTTGTTCCATCACAACTCAACTATCCAGAGGAATACCAGAGAAATGAAACCAGATTGAAACTGATCACATTACTTTGTTTTTCTTTAATCAGTGGTTCAGAAGACATTGTATCCAGAAACAGAAATGTAGGTGTTTTTACTCTTTCATCTTGTGATGCCCAAGCTTACCAATGAATGACTGTCGAACAAAAACAGGATCATTAAACATTCCACAAATCAAGCTCATTTATTTAAGCCTGATTTCATTCTTCTAGCTGGAAATCTTGTGAAGTCACATGAATTGATGTGTTGGTTCCCTTTAATACCATAACATTTCAGATGGCAACATGATAGACAAATGCCTGTATTTGACTTTCTGCTGACATACAGTATTACAAACAGGAACATGAACTGTTCATTTGAAGTTACATGTTTTAGAAAATAAATCCTTAAAATCAAGCTCACAAATCAATACTAACACAATGCACCTACAAAGTGCCAAATAGCTAATCGAAAGCTATCTCTGCCTCTAGCCCTCATCCTCCACCTCCATTTCCATGATCTTTTCACAACAGTGCAAGTACATTTTCAATTCTTCCTGCTGTCCTTCATGGTGTTTCAAATTGGCCCTTTGTGTCCCCCTACTATCACTAACCACTTCCAAGCACATCATTCATTGATATGCAACATTACCAGCGAAATTTGCTGTTTTGAATGCAGAATATGCCATTCATGCAGTGAGGGGTAATGGGGAGGTCTATGGTGCAGGGGTGCCACAGCAACTAGTCACTTTTTTTTTTATTGTCCCCCTTCAGGCTTGGATTGCCCATCATCAGCACTGGGAGATTTTCTGGCCGGTAGCCCAACCTGTCTGTTGGACAGTCCAGGCCAGTTGCACCTAAGATGAACTAAAATAGAGCACAGCTCAGCTACATCCTTTAAAATGTGAACAAACCCCTCTCCCCTGCACCATCTGTCCCCTAATCTTTTAGGAGGTTGGCCTTCTTAAAGCACATACACAGTATACGCATCATAAACAATATTAAATCAAATGTAGAACTTGCCGGTGAGTTAATGTAGTTAGTCAACTAGCCTACAGCATCTGAGTCTGTATTCAAAACTTGGTAACACTTTATATTAAGGGTACATGACCTATCAGTAATTAAGGCATTTACTAATGAATAACTAATCAGAAAATAATGACTCATTAATCAGGAACAAATTAATAAGTCATATATTAACAACCACAAGACTAAATTACTAACACATGTACTAATGAATGAAGATGAAGGTAATAAAGGCTTTATTCAGTGCCT